GGCGATCCATTGAATCTTACGACTCGTTGCGAGCCACGGTGCACCCAGGCCACTAGATCCTGCAAGCTGAATCAAAGCGCTTCGGCCCATAAATGTCCGCGAAATTAAACCAATAGTTATTGTAGATATAATCTTAATTGAATCGCTTCGCCACCAAACATGGCCTCGGGTTGGTATTCCCGGGTGTTGCTTTTTACTGCGGAGGTTTCAGCTTGAAAGAAAGGACGGCAGTTGCAAAATTGCCGCTTTTCTCTGGGGTCATGCAAGGGTTAAACAGATTGTTTTCGGAATGGAAACTACTTATTTGGAATTATTTCAAAACGAGCTTCTACTTCAAGTAGACAGAATCTAAGCTTAACCACGTTGAACTTGATATTATTTTTGTGGTATTTTTTTATGAAGTAAGAAATGTAAACGATGTTGTATTTTATCGGCACATACTTTAAAATTAAACATTATTTCCAACTTAGAACTTTTCTTTTAGTTTTGATAGTTTTGAATGAGACTTCTTTTAAATAAGATAAAAATAATATGTATTAGCTGAAGCAAAGTTTAAACTGAGTTAATCGAACATCTAATACAGACATTGTTTTATTTACAATCTTTTTTTATATAATTTCTAGTGTAAGCTTTTGTAATTGTCTGTGCGATCTGTACTGTATTGTTCAATTTGAACAATACAGTACATCTACTTTGTAATGAATACAGCCACCACGCTTGTTCAACTTTGAAACATCCCCAGCGTCTTCAAGTATAGTTGCAGATGACTGGCTAAGACGTGGATTGGGCAATCCAAGGTGTCTAACAATTTCGATTAGGCACTGGTAGTGTCAAAATATATACTATTAGTCACTCCCCTTAAAGTCGATCGCACAAACACAAACTGCAGTTAACTTACTGATATCTAATATTGAAGGCTATTCCCATTTTACAAATGAAATATGCAAAACCAACCTGCCCTGTAGTTGTAAATATATTGGAGTAAATAACCATACTTTTTAACTGCGTCTAACCATAGGTCTATCCATACGTGTAAGATAATAAAAGATATTCAACTAACTTTAGCTTTCTAATTCCATTTCCACAGCTCTCTTCAACTCTACTCTCGACAACCCCTTGGATGGATTTAATAAGTTCTTCGCTAATCTCTGTCTAGAGGCTTCTTGCCATCATCGTTGAGCCTTATTCTTCACTATAAGTGCCTTAGTAAACCGTTAGAAATGCCACAGGACAGTTCAGAACCCTGTAACCTGCAAGCTACCAATGCATCCAGACAACATCATTCCAGCATAGACTAGACTGAGTATGAGTTGATTGCTTTTAGATACTACCCGGCTATTGAAGTAAACTGAAGTTAAACAGATGGTTGAATACGGCATATGTAGACTAACATGTTTTTCATTAGCGTCACCTTTAATTGTGAATAGCTGTTTATCTATCCATTGCCACGTATTCGTGATTTAAATTGTCACGTACTTTCAAAAATCAATCTTGGAGCTTTGACCCTTTGATCTTTTTGAAGTTATTAGAATGCCATTTGGTATAAGAAATGCGTTACAAATCTTTCAACGATTTGTCAATGGGGTGGTTTCAGGTTTAGATTTTGCATTTGTCCACCGATATTTTTTATTCAAGTAAATTAATAAAGAAGATATGAAGCATTTAAAGCAATTGTTTGAGAAATAAGCACTCATGGAACAAATATCAATTTTTCAACCTTTGGTTTAATTTCAAAAGAGCATGTAGAAATAATTAAACATTTTACGAAATTTGTCCCGTAGTTGCAGAAATTCCTTCTCGTATAGGTACTTAAATTAGCCACAATTTTTCAAGCTAAAAGATATACAGCGATCAGTGAGTGGTTAAATGATCAAAATTTTTTCATTTTTCTATTACTGCGCGTATCTTTCACGCCCTATTTATAATACGAAATCTGCACTAACTTCAAAATAAAAAATCTCAAAGAAAAAATACTCAAAGAAAATCAAATTTTGTTATCAATACTGTTTCTCGCATGAACGAGGACTTTTTAAGGACATTCTAATTTAGGTCTACAATCATTTGGAGAATATCAACAAAATCAAGAGTTTCCTTTATCAAATATTAAAATTCTCGATTATATGTATCAAAACATTTACACTTTCACATTTTTAAGGATAGACATACAACAATTCGTTGTTACCTTTTTGAGCTCTATATGGCACAGTATGCATAGCGCATTCCTTAATTCCTATACATGCCAGCTTCGAGTCCTTATACAGGTATGTCTTTTTGAAACGTCAGTTTACCATAACCATATAGACAGTATTCTTGCGGTTGTGTAACTCTTGTTTCGTTTTCTCGTCCAACAAGATAGCCCCACGTTGGGCGCCATGTGGCTGTTGTGTACGGCTGGCTTCTGGATTGTCTACCTCCTGGGTGGGTCCTGGCTGTTGAGACCGGTCATCTTCTCCTCTGAGCATCATCATCGGATTCACAATCTGTATGATGGGATGAGAAGGACCGTGTAATCCAACTGAGTGTGTATTAGCTCTGACCGAGAGGTCCTGTGAGAGACGTCTTTGGCAGCGATCCATCTTCCTTGGAAATCTCGAAAGGGTGGTGAAAAATGTATTTTTATTTCCTTCGTCGGCGGTCATAGGGAGGCTGCGGCGCAGGATGTGGTCATCGTCCGATGACACGGGGGACACGGAGGGGACAAATTTTTCGAAAGATCGGTGATTTTCCTAATTCGTTGCCTGGCGCCATTTTGTTGGTGTGGTAGCCGTCTATAGTACGATCGTATACGATGCAAAGTAGAGCAAAAAATTGTCGGTCTTTTATCAAAGGAAAATCGTGTCATCATTTTTAGAAGGCGTAAGATGAACCGTTTCAAATTTAAAATGAAATTGAATGTAAAATCTCAAATACCGCCGCATACGCACTGTGTTCTGGTACTAGCTGTAGTCGGCCAGGTGCATCGAGTGTACGAAGTGGTCGGTTATACGTCAAATACTAACCTGGCGAGCTTGATCGTAGAGCAGGGAACAATAAACAGTGGCGCGTACAGAGGTGAAATGTAATACATATCTGGAATTTAAATAACGAATTGGATTTATAATAAATTACATTTAAAACAAATAGTTTATGAGAATAAAGGGATTTTTGTAGGAACAGGGTTCCAGACGTGAACTGATCTCTTCATCGCACCCCATTACTATTCTTTTTTTTTATAAGGAGAACAAAGTTTCAAAGCAAAAACCTTGTATAACAGATATACTATAAATATTTACAGAATGAAAACAAAATATAAATCCTATGATATGATTCTATCAAATGAAAACATTAACAACAATTCTCTACCAATCTCAACAAAATAAGTTATTTTTCTACCAAACAAGAAATGTTAACAAATTATAAGCAAAATATAAATTCTATGATTTATGTACTGTACGCCAAACTGCATTTTTCTCATCTTCATTTAATATTAATTTCTTCTTTCCACCCCCTTTTTAGGTTTCTTAACGTCTCCTTCAATTTTCTTCTGTCTTAAAATTTTGAAAACAGATAATTCGCTTACTCCAGTATATCTAGAACACATTTCCACCAAACCAGTCTTCAGTTTCATGGGATGATCCTTTTCTAAAGGGTTATAAGACATTTAATATTATCGTTTTTTTTCTGTAACTTAATATAGATTTTTTTGTACCCACAGCAGTACATCCGGCTCGCGAACATCCAGGCACCGCCTCCATTTCTCCATATAACGCGCCATTATTCCATGGCTAGAAATTGGCCTCAATGATTTGGGATCGAGGGGGATTATCCCTCTTAATCCTGCCTCATCTCGTGTAGGCCTGGACAGCCTTCGTAGGTGGGCCCCATCCGTCGTCTACCCCGACCGCAAATGCGGCCGGTGTAGGCGCTTTGTGGGACCTCCTTTTGTCCTGGCTGGGCCCCGCCGGCTAGGGCCCTTTCTTCTGGCGCTCTTCTTGCTCTCCATATAACGACAACAGAGCAATAATAATACAAAAAACTTCACTTCACTAGCACAGAAAATATAATAGCATTCACGATTCACAAACAACAGCCCGAAACACACACACAGCACACAAATAAAACACTAAAAACACTTTTGTTACGGAGCACAAGAAATATGATTTCACTCACAAATTCTCAAATAATAGCGCGAAACACACATATAGCCCGAAAGAAATATAATTGCACTTATAACAGTTATAACCTCACAAATATCGCGAGCGAAAAACACGCAGCACCAATACAACCGAAACGAAACTGACCACGCCAGGCTCGCACGCACGCCGCCGCAAAAAAACACAAGACACAAGTCATATGAGGGAGAATGAAGGGAGTAATAAATGTATTGTTGTCCTGCCGCCCAATGTGCGAAGGAGATGCCTTTGTTTTTCATTTTGTCCTTCATAAATATATAACTGTTAATCCATAATGCATAAAGAAATTATTCAATTTCCAAAACCCCCTATAAAATGTGTTGCACTGATTTCTTTGGCAGGCAGTGATTTATTACTTTGCATCGAATACGATCGTACTATAGGTGTCTTCATACGTTGTATTGAACGGCTTGTAGATGGTGGAAAACCGTTCGTCGCGTTTGGGGAGTTTCGAGCATGTTTTCGAAACATCCGCGAGTTTCGATGCTTGCTCTTTTTCTACTTGAAGAACTGCTTGGACGTGTTGTGGTAGCCTGCGTTTGATGCATTTGTGTGAGGAATACGAGTTTTGAGCGTTTCGAAACATTGGTAAATTCTGAAGTTCTACGACAGTATTAAGAAACATAATTGAACATCACTTTAAAAAATCTAGAAATGTTTGTCGTTACAGTAAGTGACGTTTCAGAGATTTACTAGAATGATTTGTAACATTTTTTTTTATAAAAAACAGAAAGAAAAAGAAGAAAAAGTACTTTTTGTAATCGTCCACACCACAAATCGCGCGTAGATCTGATACAGAGTAACTAATTGATGTATGTTTTATTGCAGGATGTGGTGGCTAGCGTTATCGCTGGTATGGTGGTGCGGCACGTCGGCCATCCCGTCTCCGGGCCCGGACGAATGGAAATGTCCGGAGATAACAGAACAGCCGGTGGTGGAGTGCAGCTGCGACATGCCGCACACCCTGAGGTGTACGGGCGACCGGACAGCCATGAAAATTATAGGTCTGTAAAAAAATAATCTAGTAATTGCAATTTTAGATAAAACAAGTAACATTAACATTAGCGGTAGCATTGCAAAACGTATTTGAGGACTTATTATACATTTTTTTTCGTATATTCAGGTATATATCAATCGCCATCTACTATGGTTTCTAGACGCAGAAGAAGGACGCCCATATTTTTGTATAGGGTGTAAGTAGGTAAAGCCCGTATCGACAGATTTTCTGGGGTGCTATTCTCGAGTCTTCATATATTTGAAGATCACACGTTTATGACGTTGATGCGAAGGAAAATTATAAAAGTATATTCTTGACTGTTTAATTAGAGGTCGTATGCGCAAAATATAACTCGCTTTTATACGATTGGTGTAAACCATTCGAATTGTCGTAAACAAACATAAAAACCATAAAAAGTATAGGTTAGTTTTGAAATTAAGGGTTGATGATGTTTATGTAAGATACAAATATTCAAAATAATTAACGTTTTGACATTTTGGTACTTTGGAAATATATACTCTCTTGTCTTTTACATAGCATGTAACTAACCTAAATGGATGAATTAATCAACATATTTCTAATCGAAGAATTACAGCAAATTGAAAATGCTGCTGGAGGTCGAGAAGAAACTGCAGGTTATGACAGGGACCCTTTAAGAGAATTAGGTAATGAAGAGTTTAGAAAAATATTTAGATTATCGAAAGAGTTATTTGAATACCTTATTGAAATTCTGGAGCCATATTTGAGACCTAAAATTCGTCCATTAGATTTGGACATATCATTAAAGGTACATGTACCAATCTCTAACCCATTATTACGATGTTGCCAAATAACATCATTCGAACGTTGCGAATACTCGTACGAATAGAACTTGAGAATACCTAATATAATTACCATTCGCAAAGTAACTCTTTGCAATATGAAGATATGATCGAAAATATATTTTTTGGAAACTTGAACACCCTGTATCTTGAATACCACATCCCCCAGGAAAAAAGATTATAGAGCAAACTCTACTTATACCAATCTATCCCTGCAGTTTATGTGTTTAAAGTGAAATCACCCTGTATATTTCTTAAAAGTCCACCCCTTTTTACTTTTAGAATCGACAACTCTGGCTGATAAAAATTGAAACCCATAGTACAGGGTGTTAAAAAAAGAGTGTAAAATATTTCAGGAGGTAATAGTATGAACCAAAATAAGCAGAAAAGTCTTAATAAACATGGGTCCGCAAAGTAACGGTTGCGGAGATATGGACCACTATTAGTTTTTGAAACATTTTATTTTATTAGGAATAAACCGACAAAGGAAGCTTTTAACAAACAAAAAACAAAGTTACAGAAGATGTTCAAAGTGCCCTCCGTCCATTTCCAAGCAGGCACGACATCTTCGTCTCAACGATATTCGAACTCTTTCGAAAACACCCTCCTTGGTTTGGGTTTCTTGACACTTTTGATTAATCCGTAGCTGCAGCTCTTCCAGGCTATTTACAGGAGTACCTACCGTACACTAATGTCTTCAAATATCCCCAAACAAAGAAATCTAGAGGGTTCAGATCAGGCGATCTTGGAGGCCATAAAACAGGTCCGGCCCTTAGTACCCATCTATGTGGAAAAGTTTGGTGTAAATGCTCTCTAACGGCCATGGAAAAATGAGCTGGAGCACCATCATGCTGGAACCACATTTGTTGCCTCCGATTCAAAGGAATGTCTTCCAAAAACTCATACAGTGTGTTCTGCAGAAAGTTGAGGTAAGCAGCGCCTGTTAATCGGTTTGGTAAAACAACAGGACCTAGAAACCTGTCACCTACAATACCCATCCAAATGTTTAATGAAAAACATACCTGATGTCCAGATTCTATTAGAGCATGAGGATTTTCGTCGGCCCAAATATGCATATTGTGAAAATTAAACACTCCATTTCTTGTGAACCCGGCCTCATCAGTAAAAAGAATGTTTGCAAGAAAACGAGGGTCTTCAGCATCATGACGTAGAAACCAGCGGCAAAAAACCAAACGTACTTGATGATAATTTATTGGATTTAAGGCCTGTACTCGTTGCACATGGTATGGATAAAGCAGTTGCTCGTGAAGGATTCTCCAAACAAGAGGACCACTAATTCCACCTCGGCTGATATTCTCCGCACACTCGTACCTGGATTCTGCCAGTCCTAGAATTTCTTCTTCTGCTCTAGGAGTGGATACCCACCTTGGTCTTCCGGATAAATGGCACTGTTTGCTCAAGGAACCGGTATCACGCAATCTTTGGTGAATTCTTCCAAACATGCGTTGTGAAGGAATCTGGCGATTTGGATAAGCGTCAACATAAAGACGTCGCGCTTCGGTGGCGTTCCCATTAGCACGACCATACATGAAATGCATGTCTGTTAATTCTGCGTTAGAGTAACCAGCCACAGCGAAAGAAAACTTATACACTGAGAACAACTGTCAAATACGTACCGTTTATTTCACTAAACATCAACCAACTATTATAAGAAAATACACAACGTTTTTGCAAAATAAAAAAAGGGGCTAAAAAACAAAACATTCTATATCTCCGCAACCGTTACTTTGCGGACCCATGTTTATTGAGACTTTTCTGCTTATTTTGGTTCATACTATTACCTCCTTAAATATTTTACACTCTTTTTTTAACACCCTGTATTATTTAGAAAAAAAACATAAATTTGGGTTTATATAGTTGATAATTATTTAAATATTTCATAATAGATACGTTCCTTTAATGTCTTTTTGTTTTACTGCATATCACATCAAAACATTGATTAAAATTCTTTTTATTACTTGTGTACAATATGATTCGAATTCTATGTTTGCTGCTAATACCTACGTCCCTGAAGTGTTCCTACACTTACAACGAAAATTGCATTCAATAATCCCTGAAGAAATCCTTAAAAATAGGAGTAAGCGGAGAATTTAAAAAGCGATTAGTAGAATCATTTCCGTAATGGTGCTTTGGAGCACTACTTCCAATTGTGCTGCAGGATAGGAGTATGAAACAGTTTTTTGTTGTCAAAAATTTTGTTACATCATGCAAGTTCCGATAATATTCTTTACATTATTTATGAAAAAAGTTATTATGCAAGACATAACGTAAAAAAAATCACATTTAAGAAGATATCTGAGAAATTATTTGACAGGTTAATAAAATTGGCTAAAGATAAAAATTTTCTGAATAGAGATACCGTCGCTTCAAGTCATACAATTAGGAAGTCAATGAATATTTTCGAAATGAGATCAATTTATTTCATTTTTAGCATTGTATTTTAAATAAAACGTATTTTCCACTTTATTCCAGGAATGAGTCATTTTAGTGTTATTTCTTAGTATAAAATAAGATTATTATACAGCTGAACGAACTGAACATAATTCTTAAATCTGTTCATCAAACAAAAAATATACAGGGTGTCCTACAATGATCATAGAACAACTGCAACTGTACAAAATTTAATGTAGTAATATTAATACTTTGAATTATCCAAGAAGGTTATTTGCTCTTCATTTATATCAGACTAACCAATTATATTTCTATATTATTACAAAATAATGATTTTTTAGAATACAATTTTTTTTTTTCGCCGATCGACATTGAAGGCGTAGTTTTAGTGACAGCTGTCGAGCACTAAAATGTCACTTTTGCTGCCTAGGCATTAGAATTATTTTTACTGCCGCTCAATTAAAAATTAAAATTTGTTCTTTAACGAAAGTAATTTTACTTGTTGTAAACATTTATAGTGAAATAAGAACAGCCTGTAAGGGATATCCCTTATCCTGTTTGTTTTGAAACATTTACTTCGTCTATGTCTATGTTGAAGTGTTTTCACTAGTCGATGGTTTACGAACTATTGAATCCTCCAAATTGGTTGAATTATTTAAAAAATCTCTTCCAGCACCTGATGTACTTGCAGTAGGGAAAATTCCTCCTCCTCCTCAATCAGCTATCGTTGAAGATTTCCATCCACCATGCATTTTTAAAGTTGTGATATCAGCTCCTAAACTTTTAATAGTGTAGCTGAAGTTCTAGGGAAACAATGTCCGGTATATTCGTGTCCATCCTTCAATCTGAGAAACGTAGCAACTTGTTTTGGCATTTTTCCAAATGTATGAATCCTATTATTTGGTTATATGCTTTACCATTTGAATATTTTTAAAAAAATCTGTTACTATCTATTTATGTAAGTCTTGCGGTTCTATATTTCCGATGTATGTCTAAATATTCGCTTACAATAAAATATTTTTTTTCTTTGTTTTTGTAGTTGGCAGAATGATCAGCAATCTATTTCCCATATCTTCAATATCTCCAATTTTTATTTAAAGTAATTCATCACATCACACGCCCCAGAAATGGCAAAAATCATTACCACCTGATATAATAGTCAGTATTCTTCTTTTAAAAAAATATTTTGTTTGTACCTAAATACGTATCATCAGGAGCCTCTATTAGAAATTTTTTAATTCGTTCATTTTCTAAAATGTAAGATTTTTTAGCACGATATCCATGATTGTCGTTTCAAGAATTCTTTTAATTTTATATACTTTCCAATATCGATGTTGTTGTAGACATTCAAAGTAGCTCTGAGCATCGCATATATTGACCATAATGAAGATTTCATACTATTTCTTAATTCAGAAAAATATACCAATAGTAAGGGACACCGGGCTACTTGTCGCAGATTTGGTATTAATTAATTTTATAAGTTGTTTTTGGAACTTTTTACAAATAAATATGTTCATAAGATTTTTGTATGGGCCCAAAATTTACATTTCGTATTTTACCAATCTATTGTGGATAAACTGTAAAGACCACGGCATACGAGGCAAAACGTTTCTTCATCAAAGGAGGTTACTTCTTCCCTAACATTTCTTTTTTTTGCTTAACAATGCTTTTGCTATTTAGTGAGTAGTTTTCCTCAAGAAAAACTTTTCTTTTAACTTGTAATTGGTCGATCTCTAAGCTTAACTGCTCCTGCTGTCATCATAACATCTGAACTAACGGGTGCTCGTTCAGTTTTCCTTTTATATGTTCTTACCATCTGCAATGCATATAAAATAACGTGTTCCTATTATATTTCATTAGACCTATTTTAAGATAAATTAAAATATTTTAGAAATACCCGTTGTATAGTGTATCTCTATGTATTTAAAATCTTCCAATATGAACGTTTTACCAACCACGTAGTTGTTTATGAGGCAAGTTGTTGCACGACAACTTGCCCCATAAACAATGCGACAAATTACCCCCACTTGACAAAATATTGGTTATATCTAATTAATTTTATATATGATTAATAAACATATTTAAAAATATCACATCATATTACGTACATCCTAAGTTATAATTATATATAAAATTTGCTTACCTTAACGTTCAATAACGGGCATAACACTTAAATTATTCTTAACACGAAAATGTACGACGTGCGCACTAGTTCTTATATCTACCGTACGGTGCTGCCATCTTAGCGGTTTGAGTTCAAACTCAGGGAAGATAAAGAAGGGATCTGTAATTAACTTGTGATAGAGATTTATAGGCCAATGTTTTCTAATTTCGGAATTATAGTAACTGCGACAATTTACCCCTGCGACAACAAGCCCCGGTGTCCCCTACATTTTCTGAAAAAGACATATAATGTTAATCTCAAGTTGCTAATCAATGAATGTTTGCTGAATGTATGTATATCTTCTTCGATTTTTCTGATAATAAATTACACTCTATTTGAATTGCCAATTCAGTAATTTCTGGCGGAGTTAATGTTAATTCTTCCATCTCAAATAATAAATAGTTATTTTTATGGATTTAAATAGGAACAATATGGCGATTGCTGTGTATTTACGTTATTTACTTAATAACGCTCCCCTCATAGCAACCACATACGTCCTGATGCAATTATTATTATTATTCATGAAAGAAGTATAATACTATGTATTTTAATAATATAAAATAAATAGATTTGTATGCTATTATGATAAAATTAAATTTGATCGGCAAAAAAATTAAGTGTTTAACTTAGCAGCAAAGTATAAGATTTATTATTATATTATTATAATATCGGCTATTAAGTACCGGCAGCGGCATTAAATCTTATACCTACTTTAGTGCCTAGTTAAACAAATAACTATTGTCAAATGAAAATTAATTTAATTTCCCAACAGGTAGTAACGGATCGATTTATATTATTATAAACGTCAAATGAATTTATAGTAAATGTCAAAATTTTTACTCGCTTTTTCGTCAATATTAACAATATTTCGATGTTTTCGAAAAAGTATTTCTTGATACATAGTTGCGAAGTCGCTTTTGCATTCTCGCACGTTTATTTTTCTGTGCTCGCTGACATTAGCAAAAAAACTTTCCACCCTTGAATATAAAAGCGATACTTCGCGACCTAGAATCAGAAATAACTATTTCTGACGTCTTTACGACCCCGCTCAAGTTTTCTAGTATCCTGTAAAATCTGTACTTCCGACTAAAATCCATTTGCCTGAACTTCTGCGATGCGGAACACGAGTAAAACGTCGGAATCAAAGCGCCCACGTCCTAATCCACCCATTTACTTGCTTCCAGGCCGCACGTTGCGTTCCCTCAACGCGGCCACCGTGTCCCTGTTGGACTGCACCGTACAGAACGTGACCGCAATTTCGGAGCCGCTTCTGGAGGGAGTGGCTCTCCACGGACTAGTCGTCTCTTCCGGTGAAATCAAAGAGATACACCAAACGGCCTTCAAGGGACTGGCGGCACCTCTGCAGGCCCTCGGCCTACCCAATAATCAGCTAATATCCGTGCCCACTCAGGCGCTAATGTCGCTCCCGGAGCTGGATCGACTGGACCTGTCCGGGAATAAGATGAAGTCGCTGGATGCGGGCTCTTTTAAGGTGGGTTGTTCATAGAATATTAGTACAGTTTTTTGCTTGGAAGTTTTTTTTATGGCGGTTTTGTCCTGTTTATGTTTTCTAGAACAAAACAAAAACAAAACTGAAACAAACCCAAAACTCTTCCATCAAGCGGGCTACATTTTGTTCGAGTTTTGTTTTTGTTTTCAGTCCTTTTCCACTGGTTGTCGCGAGGAAGTCAGAACACATTTTTCCAATAACCAGCCAACATAATTTTTTTATTCTTAGTTATGGCTGGTTTATACTGAAGTCCTTGGAAAAAAAGTGTGTCTACAGAGTGTCCCACCTCGGACTCCATCGATGGATATCTGGGAAACCGCTCTAAGGATTTTTTTGAAATTCTGATGGTGTGATACGGACCGTGGGGTCCACCAAGTTAAAATATTTTCAATGTCATCGTACTTCCGGTTACACCGGAAGTCGATACTAACTTTCTTACTTTAAATGGAACCCCCTGTATATTATTGAATTTTTGAAAACATCATCCATTTTTAAGTTGAAAACATATAGCACACTCCATACTTAGGACTGACCGTTTTAGACGAACGGTACACCTCTAAAAAGATGCTTAGAAAATCAAGGTCACCGACTGCGAGGAGAGGCCAGGATGAAACCTTTTTAACCGATGCATTGAGTTATTGCGAACAAAATAACCTAAGTAACGTCTTTGTGTCCGAGTGGCAGGTAATTTGTTAATAACAAAAAAGTTGCAAAATAAAAATATTGCAAAAAACGCTCTGCAAACAATCGCTATACAGTGTAGGAAAGTACCGATGGTCTATAGCGATACGTAGGGGTGGCGCGTGGGCACTAGCGGCCGAAATTCAACTGCAAATTTAACTGGTAAAAATAGGGGCGGGTTTAAAAAAAATACTACATTAAAGTATAAGTCTCGAGAAGTATTTTGCGCTTTTAAACGTTCCGAAAGCTTTGGTAGGAGCTGAGATATGAATTTTTAAAGTTGGCAACTTTTAGCCATTTTTCGACCTTAAATCGCCCCTAGCTCGAAAAGGAAGCGTTCTACGAAAAAATGTCAAGACAAAAAGTGTTTATTTTTGCCCAATGTAAATTTGCAGAGCGTTTTTTGCAATATTTTTATTTTGTAACTTTTTTGTTAATAACAAATTACCTGCCATTCGATTACAAAAGGTTTCATCCTGGCCTCTCCTCGTGGTCCGTCACCTTGATTTTCTAAGCATCTTTTTAGGGGTGGACCGATCGTCTATTTCCGAGATATTTCGATTTTTAAACAAAAATTGACAGATGCAGACCGTCAGAAAAATTTAGTTTTCCCGTTTTATTTTTTTGTGCAAATTGGATATTTTGTAGAGAAAGACCTACTTTATCGAATTTGACACGAAATTTTCGAGTTTTTATACAGGGTGGTCAAAAAAATTATCGAATATGAAGTTCAGAATATGTGGAAAATTCGAAATTTTTAGATGGAAACCCCTAATATTTTTGCAATAATAACAGGGGTCTCCATTTAAAATAAAAAAGTTAGTATCAACTTTCGGTATAACCGGTAATACGATGACCTTGAAAATATTTTAGCTTGGTAGGCTCCACAGTCCGTATCACGCCATCACAATTTAAAAAAAATCCTTCGAGCGTTTCCCAGATATCCATCGATGGAGTTCGTGGTATATGTACGGTTAAACTGTTTACTTGGTTAATTTGTATCCTAGCCAAGTAAACACTTTAACCGTACGCATCTATATTTTTTAATAGCTATAATTCATTAATGATTAAAATATTGTTTTTGGGAAGAAGAAAACGCCAACATAGATATTGGGTTGGATCACTTAAATATAAAACACAACACGACCGTTTCCACTAAATAGACTTGAGTTTCAAAACACGTCGAAACCTTTTGATGTGACCGCTTTCGAGCGGGACCCGAAAAACATAACTCCAACTGTCGAAAAACACGCCAGTCTTCAAAAAGTTTGCGAAAAGTTACAGTTTTGTTTTATTCGACACAAGGTTGTGTTTTGTTTTTGTTTTGTCCGTTTAGTGGAAAACCGCCTTTTTGAAGCGGGACCCGAAAAACAAGACTCCAACTGTCGCAAAACACGCCAGTCTTCAAAAAGTTTGCGAAAAGTTAGTTTTGTTTTATTCGACACAAGTTTGTGTTTTGTTTTTGTTTTGTCCCTTAAGTGGATAAAAATTGATATCTGAAGAAAGTGTTGCCAGTTCCAAATATTGAATGAACATGTACATACATGCTTACATCTACATTTATCACAATTTTCACTTAATTGATAAAGTGCATGTCTAAACGGGATGATAAATTAGATAACTAATGTATTAAAATAAAATTGCAAAGTGTTTATTAATTTTTTGTTGAAATAAAATACCTAATAACATATTACACATATTTAATTTTACATTTTTTATATTATTAGGAGTTTTACTAAAATTTTGATTAATCGATTTTATGTGGTAGGTAGTAAATTCGCAGAATTACAAGTTACTTTATTAAACAGTCCAAAGGAAAATTTGGACAGGGATGTTGAACTGGAGGTACATCTTTACAAAAATTATAAATGGTGTTTCCTGGGTAGTTACAAATACAATTATCAATCAAATTTGTTATCTAACTGAGTAATGAATATAGAAAATATGTCATTTTAGGGATAGTAAACTTCCAAAAGGTGTTACACTAGTTATATAAATTTTGTACCAACTTTTCCAAACACCCCGTATATTAAAAGCTAAATTGAATAAACCTTTGTGTTAAAAGCATCAGTCAAGATTTCGAGATAATTTTTGTTATTACCTAACAAAAAATAAAATACATACAACAAATAGGTGAAGTTTTTAATAGATGCGATTTTTACTGATGGTAACGAAGCATCAATTACTTCAACTTTTAGTAATCCCACTATCCGCGTCATTGTACAATACGCATCGATCAATTTATTCCATACGTATCTAGCGGCACCCTTATGCCTGCCCTGTCGGTCTGCTGGGGGGCGTTGGCCGTCCATTTCATTGCCGTTTATGCTTGTGTGAGTGAGTTTGGCACTTTGCTTGTTTTTTGGCAGCCAGTAGCATTGTACAGGGTCATAAAGCCCCCATGGTTCATCTGCCGTTACGTGAGAGCGATAAAGAAAGTCATAGAAATCCGTGCGATAGAAACAGATGGCTATAATGAAGGCGTCTAATAGTCACCGCCCGTTGCGCCCTTCCACAAATAAGATCCACTTCTTATTTGTGGAAGGGCGAAATGGGCGTTGACTATTAGACGCCTTCATTATAGGCATCCTTGTCTATCACATGGATTTCTATGGCTTACTTTATCGCTCTCACGTAACTTCTGATAGACCATCGGTACTTTCCTACACTGTATACAGGCTGTTACTTCTATATAGTTCACTTTTTCTTTACCTAATTAAATGCATCAAATTTTGCATTCCGTAGATTTATCTTAAATAATGTAAACTAGCACTTTTTGACGAAAATTACTTTTTATATCGAATATAAATCCATTGAAATTATTTAGATCCATAAGAAGATCTTGTTTAAAGCAGCTTGAAGCTCCATCTTAAGATGTGACTATGAAAACAATCCTAATTCGTTCCATCAAGGAAATGAACGACTATAATACGTTTTCAGCATAGCTTAACTGAAGCGAGACCTTAATTCTTGCAACAATCTCCGCACTTAAGGGAGCTCCAGTCAGTAAAAATAAAACTATTCAAAAGCTGGATCGCTGCAATGGCACGGATTTATCTTATGTTTTTTTTCAATAATTTTATTTTTTTAAACTTTTGTTAACCAACAAATTAATGTCAAAGTTCGTAGCATGGTTAATTAATTAGTAAGGATTAACATAATTTCTGTGCTTTAAAAAATTACACTTATGTGCAATATTTTAAGTATTTCTTGGATGCAATTAAAATAGTTTTCGAATAATCCTTAAAGCAAATAAAGCATTCGGGAAAACGCTAAGTTTTAAGGGTTTGAAACTTTTCTAAAAGCTGCAGCTGAACAGTTTTTAAGTTCAATTAATTATATGACTCCGCAACTCCTTAGCGCGGTTGTTCATAAATCTTAAGTTTATAGTGCACTGCTTGACATATCACTAGGCTATAAAATCTCTATTATCTGGAGAACAGAAAACATTGGATGTTGCCTCTATTACATCTACCTAAATCGTGTATTTTTTTTAAAGTTGAGCAAATTATTATTTTCTCTCCTCTCTCATCATTAAATATCATCGAGAATAGTCAACATAAAATTGAATGTACGTAGTGGTTCTAAGGCTTTTACGGCTTGTGCTGATATTTAAAGAATCATAGTTTTCTGGGTTGCTATCTTGTGGCCTATGCAGAGATATATAGACATAGCTTTAGACTTCAAAATTAGTTTCACGTTTGGTATAAAACCATGTTGCCATCCAGCATGAAATATAACTAAACGCTGTCCTTTTGATACATGTTTTCGGAGCTTTCATCACACCAAGCCTTTTCATGAGTGAATAATAAATGTACTGTCATCCATATAAACAATTGGCCCACCATAGTACGGTATTGATTCATTATTCTTTAAAAACTTCAGTCTTGGATGCCATGACGTTCCAATATAATCGAAGAGAATTAAGCTCAAAACCGTCGAGATATGGCTGTTGCTTGAAATAGATATTAGTAAAAATCGGTCGGAAATAATATATACAATGAAAATATAAGTTTGTGCTAAGAAAAAGAGTTGTGCTATTTGCAGGAAAAATTACATTCTCACATTTTCCAATATAACTTTTTAAATATGCAGTTTACAGAAAAAACTATTACTGATGTTTGTTATGAAATTTGCTACAAGATTGAATTGTTTGATAGCCGCCCTTATTATATTTCTGTTGCTAGATGGCCAAAACAGCGTAAGAAAATGATAAAAATCGAGGTAATTTTGAAGCGTTCAACTGACAGGTAAGAAATTGTCCAATTCTACTATAAATGTAGATGTAAGTATTTTAAAGTATTACAAAACGAAATCCCAAAATCCGATCCAAATCGGTCTGATAGTTTTGGCATGAGACAATTTGTTACTAAATATACAGGCTGTTACAAATTCGCTTCTCACTACAGGGATCTCTGAAACGGTAAGAGGTACGAAGTAGCTAAATGGGGGCAAAGTTGCGTAATCAGGGGACCAACATTATGCCTCTAAAAAATCAAGGCTAACATGATTAGTTTTCGAAATATTTGAAAAGAACCGAAATTTCGGAAATCCGTTTTTGTTTGTGACGTTTGAATCTGGTTCGGCCTAAGACAGTACAGTATTGTGGGTCATGCTTGCAAAAAATGTAATAAAATTTCCAGGGTCGTATTTAAAAGAATGAAGTTGATGATGGTTCTGGAAAAACGAAACGTTACATATAAAAATTGATTATGTCATTCGATAGAGGGCAAAAAGTGCCCATGAGAAAGTGTTCTTCTTTTTTCAATATCGCCTCAAACAAGGCTGAAATGAAACAAAAACGGATTTCCAAAATTTCGGTTTTTTTCAATGTTGGTCCCCTGATTACGCAACTTTGCCCCCATTTAAGCTACTTCGTACCTCTTACCGTTTTCGAGATCCCTGTAGTGAGAAGCGAATTTGTAACAGCCTGCACGCGCTAAATGTCGTTATTTTTTTGCGGCAGTGCTGGGGTTAAAGTTAGACATTTTAATTGGCGTTGATTTTTTAACACATAATTGAGCCCCTTAACTCACATATAGAATAGTTTTGGAGCAATAACGAACAATTTCATCAGTAATAGTTTTTTCTGTAAACTGCATATTTAAAAAGTTACATCGGAAAATGTGAGAAAAGACACATATTTTTTGAGTATTTTTGCAGCAACAGCCATGCCAATATGTAATTCTCCTGGACTAATAATAGTTGTCAGTTGGTCTTGACTGCGCGATAAAGATGAATTTGGTCAAGCTGCACATTGCACTTCCTTAGGCTTAGCTAGGAATCTTTGACCTACCCTTGTTGTTCTTGAGCTAGGCTCTGTGAGGGCTGATCGGCTATAAGCTTAGGCCCACTGTAATATTGAATGAATGTATTGATTTTATTTAAAAGATCAGATTTAATGTATAAATTTTATTCGGATCTACTCTGAAATATTTTAAACAGAAAACCTGTATGACTTTTAAAAAAAATCGATTTATATTCAACGCATGATATATGTATAAAAGGTGATTCAGCCCTAATGTCATTAATTTTAAGGGAAGTTAGGGAAAAAATGAGTAAAATGCGAATGTTCAATTAAAAAAAAAATTAAAAGTATATTTACACCAAAAAAAATATATTTTCAAATCATTATTTAAACCCTTTTTCGGACCGCTACTGGCCGCTGACCTACAAAGGTTTATCGAGAGTGAATCTTGACCTAGCGTATTTGATCACTAACTAGCTTTTATTGCGTTTTTAATAGTGTATGACATTTATAACATTATGACTAAATCACCCTGTATATCATAAAAATATATAATATTAAATTTACAACAAATTTTTGTAGACTAGTGCTTCTTATAGATGTATAAAAGTAATAATCTTAAAAGTGGTCTTAGTAAGTTTTATGTCAAAAAATTTGAAATACCCCTCTGCAAAAAAACTTAAAACTTCATAATTAAGAAAAATTTATTTATTTTTTCTTAAATATTAGTACCTATTGGTTTTTATATTTATGTTATTCATTAATATAATAGTTAATTATTTTCGTCATTTATAAATACATATGTAATTGTTTGATGTTAACAAATAATTTTCTCTTGCGCCAATTTTTAGAAATAATATACAAAGTAGGTACTGATTGTTGGTAAGATACCGCGGTATGATATCTCAAATAGTCACTTCTATTCAATGCTGAGAACTTCATTACGGTCAAACCTGTGCCATAATAAGTTCGAAACCGAATTCCGTCTCTGGTGGTTCTGATCATCATTTCAAGTTATTTGTACTTGTACTTTTGTCTGGAAATAAAATGCGTGTTTTACAAAAATATTAACAGTTACATTGTAACCATAAGTTTGAACAAAATATTGATTTGATTTTTGTTTTCTAGGGCCTAAGGAATCTCTCCTTTATTGACCTAAGTGACAACATCATCACGAGGATAGCGCCCGACACCTTCGACAACCTGCCGCAACTGAAAATTCTCCGACTCCGTGGAAATCGATTGTCCATATCAACGATCGTGAGGCTACATTCTTTCTCCACGGTAGAAGAATTAGACCTTTCAGAAAACACCTTAATCGGACCTCTCGAACCCAAGACCTTTCCTAAAATGGAATCACTCAGAGACCTTCAAATGTCGCACAATACCCTAAGCAGCATAAAAATGGGAGCATTGCAAGGCTTACTAAATTTGACTTCCCTCCGGATGCAGCACAATCAGATAGATGTAATAGAAGATCACGCCTTCAACCACCTTCAGACACTGATATCTCTAGACTTAGCGCACAACAGGATAGTAGCGGTATCCGGAGCTTCTTTGGCTCATCTAGAGAAACTAACAGACCTAGATTTGAGGCACAATTTTCTACGAGCGCTTACTCCGGACCTGGTGCTGCCTCTGAGGAACTTAAAGAGTTTGAAACTCGACGATAATGACATATCCATAGTCGCCAGCGATGCCTTAAAACCTAGCACAGTGTTTAAGCACTTTACTTTATCAGACAATCCTCTGAATTGTGATTGTAGCCTCAGCGACTTCGCTGCGTGGTTGACAAATTCTAGTCTTAGCAAGGAGGATAAATCAACTGCCATTTGCACGACTCCACCATCTTTAGAAAATGGTTTGTTGATTGAGGTGCCTCTGGATGAGTTTTTATGTGGAGAAGAAGAGCAAGTGGCATCTCTGTACACACCTGACAAAATAAAAATTAATTTGAAAGAAATTAAGTACGATGGAAGCAGCATCAAACTTCTTTGGGGTGTAGATGACATAGCTTCCCCGTACACTTGTGACGCGATATTTGTATATGAAGAAGAAGGACCCAACGAAGTTCTAATAGAGTCTAATCCTCTGAAATGTAACTCCTCTGAGATGACCGACCCCAAACTCTTGCATGTAACGGTCCCGTCTTCGATACAACTTCAGCGGTTACACAGATACAGATATTGCGTTGTTCTGTTCAAAGCTGGTCAGTCAGACGACGTCTCTGTAATGGTGGGTTGTTCTGACGTCATACCCTTGGTGCAAAATGCTAAAATCCAAACTAACTTCACCATGAAACTTCCAAAGGTCATATCTATCCAAGCTAACCTGTCCAGTTATGGCAGCCTCTCGATTGACGTCAATGTATACCCTCAGAGCAAGTGTCAGCTCAACCTCGCAGTCTTGGAGCAAAATGCTCTGCTCTCGCAGAGAAAAATGAACTGCACCGAACCCAAATACACTTTCATTGGCTTAACGCAAGGCCCCTACCGAGTCTGTGCAAACGTGGTACGTCCAGGACCGGCCGTTGATTTCAATAAACCGAGATGCGTCACGGTTTTCAAAAAGGAAGCGAAAGGATTCACTACGTTAGATGTTGTCTTCGTCTCCATATTCCTAGTTCTGTGTTTCATGGTTATTGCTTTGATATATGGCGTGAGGAAAATTTTACTCAAGCCCAAAATTCAGACCCATCAATGTTTTCTTCCACCGGAATGTGACGATCAGGTTCAACATAACAGATACGTGAAACTACAAGCGACGACTAAGTTATAACCTACTGTGGATTTGTGATTTCTGCAATGACTGTGCCATACAATTTTAATTTAATTATATTGACGTTAAAATGTGCAAATGTAATTTGTAACGTATTAACCAAATTCTTTGTATAATAATTATTATTATGGATTGTAAATATTGTTACGAAATGTTTTACACTAATAATTTTATGATAAAAGAGGGATATGCTATACGTTTTTTTTTTTGTAGAAATTTTTATTGTGGTGCTACTAAATTATTTTTCTTATAAACTTTATTGTACTTAACTGTTGTTTTTTTGGTAGAAATTCTTTATATTATAATTTTGTAAGTTTAAGTTTGTTGTAAATATTTAATTATAGCCTAATCTCTTACACTATTAATGTTTTATACATGTTATTATTTTTAAAAATTAACAGAACTGATTGTACAATGTAGATATTATCTTACTAATGCTTGTTTTTATTTTGTTACAGATTGTTGTTAGTCTTTATGCACTGCCTTGTGAAAATAAAGTACCTAATATACCTAAAATGTATGCTCTATTTATTCATCGGTTTCCTCTATATGGAAACTACAACAATAGACAAACCCAAACAAAATCCAACTTAGTTTATTTTGACATTTTCAATACTTCCAAAAAATATATATGTTTACATAAAAATTACATAATCAAAAACAACAAATTAAATAATAAATTCCTTCTCCCGAATCAAAAAAAATTAATTTGGGTTAATAAACAAATGAAAATGATACTTAGCTTCAAATACATAAAAAAAAAATTGAAAATCTAGTTCAAAGTAATATGACAATCATATAGTTACAGGATGACTTTTAACACAAAAAATCATTTATTCTTCGGCATATTTTTTTATATTTAATAAATGTGACCCATACTTGCTGGGCAAGAGAATAAGATATAAAAACAAACCATGTAATCTCATGTTTCACGAATGCTTGTATTTTGAGATAATATGAAGGTCATAGGAAATGGAAAGATTGAGAGGCATGAACTGTTAAAAATTCTTTCAGTACTCCATTATTATCGCTGTTGAAAGTGCCAATACAATTCATGAAACAATTATGAAAATAATTTTGTCCCTTTTACTTCTTCTTTGGTGCTACAACCATGAAGCATATTCGATGTTTTATAAAACTAATATAACAGGTAAGTAGATAATATGAAATATATTTTGTTAGAAGTTATTATATTTAAAAATTAAAATAATTCACGGTACATGTTAAATCAGCGTTATATTTTTTTTGACATATTTACAAAAATTTACCAGAGGGTAGACCAGACTAAAATAAGATTAAAATTCTTATACAATATTTTTCTACGATGCACTCTCATTGAGTTACAGGGTGTTGTTTAGAAAAAAATAATAACAATACGCAATAAAAATAAACCCTTTCAGGGATTTAAATAATTTTTGCGTAAAGTGTACATCTATTAAAGGTCATTAAAACTACATTATGCTTATTTTGATCTGGCACCAGGAGCGGCCTAGGCCAACTTGTCATCAAGGTTATGTCTTCATAACTTTTGCATATCCTAGTTTTATGTAATTTGATTAAGTTTTCCTGAATCTGCAATTGATTCTGAACAAAAAATGCGCTCTTGTTTCATAGCTCAAAAATGAACCGTTTTCTAGTAAATTGGGTCTAAAGTATCGTAATTCGTAGAAAAATGCATGTAAAGATTTTATTTGTTGTTATCTAGTAGGTACCTGTCATTATAAAAAACAAAATTGTTTACAAGCGTACATGTCAAAATTAATTACGGTACTCGAAGATACGAGAAATTAAGTTTACAAAACAAGAATTATTAAATTTTCCAACAATGAATATGCCGATAGGATATTGGTCTACGATTTCTGTCATGAAAATTCATTCGTGGACTCACGAGAGTATCTATGCAGGTTTCCAAACAGAAGGCAACCTTCACAGCACGTATTCCAACAAGTTTTCCAAAGAGTCCGTGAGACCGGGAGTGTTAAAACTGGAAATAACCAGAATAAGAGGTAATTTGGAAGATGCAAGCATTTTAGAAGAAAATGTAATAGCTGCTGTTCTTGATGATCCTTCCACCAGTGTCCGAAGAATATCAACTCAAGTAGGTATTCCACGAAGCAGCGTCTGGAGAATTTTAAACCGAAAAGAACTGCACCCATACCACCTACATAAAGTACAAACTTTGCATCCTGGTGATCCCGAAAAAAGAAAACAATTTTGCAAGTGGTTGTTAGAAAATATCGATCAAAAGATATTGTGGAGCGATAGAACTATCTTCACGAGAAATGCTATAAATAATTTAAAAAAATTCATGTTTCATCCATTGGACATCCGCATGTGATAAGACCATCCGCGTTTCAAAGAAGATTCTCCATAAATGTCTGAGGAAGAATCTTAAACGGAGTCATTCTGCCTCCTCAAATTATTGTAGACCGTTTAAATTCAGAGAGATACACGGATTTTTTAGAAAATATTGTTGATGGCGTACTAGATAACGTTACCTTAGCTTTGCGAAATCAAATGTACTATCAACAAGATGGAGCACCTACTCGTAACGGAAGAAAGGTATCTGCGTGGCTCGATTACATTTTCCAGAACGCTGGAATGGGAAAAATGGACCTCAACCCACTTGATTTTTTTAATGGAGAAATATGTAGAAAACTTGTTTAATTTCTTCATATTCATTGAGCCACAGCTACATGGGAAGCTGTAAGTACCTTAACGGTAAACAACTTTGTTATTTATAATGACAGATACCTACTAGATAATAAGAAATAAAATCTTTACATGCATTTTTCTACGAACTACTGCAGTCGATACTTTAGACCTAATTTACTCCAAAACGGTTCATTTTTGAGCTATGAAACAAAAGCCCATTTTTTCAGATCGAAATAAGCACCATGTAGTTTTAATGACCTTTAATAGATGTAAGTAGGTAGGTACACTACACCCAAAAATTACTTAAAGAATTAGAAGAGTTATTATGGAAAGTTATTATTATTTTTTTCTATATAACACCCTCACTCAATGAGAGTATATCGCAGAAAAATATTTTATAAGAATTTTAACCTTATTTTGTTCTGGTCTACCCCCTGGTAAATTTTGTACGCTGATACAGGGACACCCTGTATTCATGGAATATAGTGACATTCTGTATCTTGTAGATACCAATTAATAGCAACTGTGAAGCAATCAAGTCTGATTTCTTGCATATTTATTTTTAATATTACTGTTTATAAGCTGTTTTACATTGACAATTTATTCATCAATAAATTGACGAAGTTCTTCATGAATTTATTGTGTGGTTTTACACTGCTACAGACTTTGTCAAGTTTTTTGACGTATGAATCCGTTCTACCAATGAATCAAAGAAGCAAATAAATTTCAAAAATGTCACCTTTCCACTTATAATTGTATTAATACAATAGCGGTACCGTTCTGACACATATTATATAAATATTAGTTTTTGTAAGTAACAAATCAGTAAAAACAATGCAAAACTAGTACGACGCCACACAATTATTTACATATTCCAATAACATAACCTCATTACTGATCTGAGGCTGGAAATCTGTTGGGTTAGTACTTCTGAACTTCACAAAGAAATTGACGAAAATTAGAACATGCTCTAATTCGTCAAGAACTTGAATAAATTCATGAAGTTATTTGACAGCAGATTTGGTGCATTACACCTGTCCAATTTCTTGATGAAGCGACTTCATGAATTAATTGATCAATAAATTGTCAATGTAAAACAGCTATTACGCCCTCGTAAAACACATTTATTTTTTAAAACATTGTTTAATTATGAAAATATAAATTATGTGAGAGTATTTCGTAAAGGTCTTTTCAAGGGTCAAATCAAGACCCGATTTGTGTGACATAACATAGATGAAATAGAGATCATGCTCTTCTAAAACATCCAGTCATCTGTACCACATTATCCACCTTCAATTTCAGATTTAAGCAAATGCAAGGTTCACTATTCTCGCTCTGGAAGCGTGTACACAGATTTCTATACGTTATCCACGTTGTCTTCAGAAAACGATAGCTTTCTAGTAGATTTTCATTTCGCCGTTTTGGCACCCAGCGACGCTCACATCCTTTTGGCACCATCCGTGGAAGTGAAAAAAGGGGACCCCGCGTACGAAATAGTGATTGGCGCTGGAGGAGATACCTTTTGCGACATCCGCAGAAGTCAGAAAGCTAACGTGAAGGCTTCAGTCAGGATCAGAGACTTGCTGTCGGCTCTGGACCCGAATTCGTTTTGGATACACATCACGAAAGGTTGGTAAAACTCGAGTTCATGCCATTTCTAAGTTGACCTCTATCATGTATTTTCTGTTCAAAATATTGACTTGGTTTGCTTCTACGGCCGTTGTCAATGGTTGAACAAAAATGTGTTCAGTCAAAGTTTTATTCCTAGTGCGTTAGAAACAGTTTCCAACATTCAGACACCACATCAACAATGAATTTTCAATCTTATATGAGCATTTTTTCGGAATGCGCATGCATCTGACTGTCTGGATTCTTATTATTGAACATCATTTGTAAAATCCTAAGAATCATAATAATATCAGTAGATTTTAGTTTAGTGCATGGATAAAATGCCTCTAAGCACCACTAAATTTAATAATAGACTTAAATTGTCTACACGAATTTACAAACCTGAGACCATTTGATTTTTTTGTCTGAACGGTGTTTATTCTTATTTATACAGTGTGTCTCATTTATACTTCAAAGAAAACTGGAGGTGCGAGATTTTCTTTAAAAAATAGTGGGTGTAGTTCGTACAACGTTTTCCTCATTAAAGTCCACAGAGTGTTAAAGTTAATACTTTGACGAGGACTTTTCTTAATTGTCTTTAAGTCGGCTAAAGATAAAGATGTCAACATTTGTACAAGAATAAATGTCAGTTTATGGGGTTAATTGAGGGAAAAATAATAACACAACATCATAACGACTTTGCAAACCCCTAAGGGTAATAAAAAATGGCATGCTATTCAGTGGCGACTCGTCAGAGGAGGCTGGGAAGGCTAAGCCTCCTCTGCACTTTTTGATAGTACTGCAAAAGTTTTCTTTTAGATTTTTTATTTTGCATCATATAATTAATGTTATTTAAGAAATATTCATACAAATCTATTTTCATATGCAAATTAAATAATTGCAAATTTATTTTTCTCCTGGCAAGTTGATGAAACCACGGATGTTACTTGTAAGTCTCAATTATTGTTAATTTTTAGATACGTAGTGCATGGAGAAGTTGTTGAAAGATTTGTTGGATTTTCTGATATAACAAATGGAAGAGATGCAGATAGTTTATTTAAATTATTAATTAATGAATTTAGAAAATTTGACTTAAAAAATTAATTAATTACTCAAACCTATGATGGTGCCGCGGTAATGTCAGGTCATGTTAATGGACTTCAAAGAAAAATAAGAGACATCGCTCCTCAAGATTATTTTTATCAATGTTACGCACATAAATTAAATTTAATTTTAAGTAAAGCATGCAACGGCATTAAAGAAGTCAGAATTTTTTTCAAATCTTTCCGGATTTTCGTCATTTTTTTTCCAAATCTACTAAAAGATCTGACGTATTAAATAAAATAATGCAACACAGAATTCCAAGTAATGCTCCCATTCGTTGGAATTTTTCTTCTAGAGCTGTTTTTACGGTCAAAACTTATAGAAAGAAACTAATTGAGATTTTTTATTTCAAATCGGATAGTGAGGATTTTTTAAATGATCAACAAATTTTAGGATTCGTTTATGGATTAAAATAATTGTTGTTGGACAAAAATTTCATTTTTTTCTTGAAAACCTTTACAATGATTTTTGAACAAACTTGTTGTATTCCAAATTTTGCAGAATAAATTAATTGACGTAACATTTTCTAAAAAGAGAATTCATTCACTTTTATCAAAATTAAAAGAAGACATTGACGAAACCTTTAACGATGACCCGCCCTCAAAGAAAAGAAAGACAAATTTAAAGCTTCATTCATTTCAAGCTTCCTCTACCAAAGATACCACGAGCCGCCACTGATTCTATTTGAATATCGATAAGTTGTACATTTTTCGAGAAAAATGAAAGTGAAACTTTTTTAACTCCCAGAAAACAGCAGAAGTAAATTTAAAAATAATAACTTGTGACTCTGGATTCAGTATAATTTGACAACACAAATTTTATTCATTCAAAATAACTCTATTAATTTTCTTGGTCGATGAATTCCTCACCCCAGTAGTTCAACTATACCCCCCAAACTACTCACGTCTACGCCACTGCTACCGAAAATGTTAGGAGGCACGTTTTTTCTTAAGATACGGTTAATACGATATACAAATTTTGACACTTTTGTCTTTCTGTTATTCTGTATCATTTTTGGTAATCTTTTGATTCATGTCTTCTTCTTTTCATTTTTCTTCTTCGTAGATGGTGATATTGGTGTCGGAAGAGAAGGTGAAGAGTTACCATTCATCACGTGGGTTGATCCTGATCCCCTTCCTCTAACTGTTATCAGCTTTAGTGCGTGGTCAGGAATAGAAGCCAAATGGTACTTTGACTGCCAGAGACCAAAGGATATACAAGTAAAGAATGACACAATCGTGTATTACATTTTTACAGTGAATTTGTTTCAGGAAATTGAAAAGAATCTGACTCACACTGAGAAATTACGACGTGATTTACTGAACCGCTACAATCCGTACAACAGGCCAGGGCAAGATTCCTCGACTGTAACAACAGTTTCTGTGACTCTTCATATAAATCACATTACTTTGGTAATGAAATATATCAGCATATTAAAATATACAGCATGGTAAAAAAGTTCTGCATAAAATTCATATTTTCGTTAAACAATTTTTTTTCGAAAAACAGTGGGACCCGTCGATTTTTATTTGATCCAGGGCACCTTGTTATGTGGAAAAAAAATTTTTTTTTGATAATCCACTTACGGCAGCGATGACATAATTTTTTTTCTAAATGACAACGCATATTTTTTTCGTTCGAAATTGATGACAGTGATAATTATCTAAACAACGGTGTGAAAATTTCGATGTCTTACATAACAATTTTTTTTAGAAAAATGCACCTTAATTTCTTATAAGTGATAATTGTCTACTTACACTATTAATGGCTCCGAAAAGGACAAAGTTGACAAAATTACATTTCAAACGAGTAAAATTACACTAATGTTTGTGTAAGTCTAGCGAAATTGTTCGAATTGCCCACCCTGTACCATTTGGCATTGTCCTAAGCATGTGTAAACGCCGTCTACACTTCGTTCAAGCATTCTCGGGTCGATTTGATTTACGTTTACTGGCCGGTGGATCGGGCGACGCGCAACAATCGTGTGGCCTCCGCGTTCGCCTTATTTAACACCTCTAGATTTTTTTTTGTGGGGCTATTTGAAATCGCGTGTGTACACAAACAGACCAGGTGATTTGGAAGAACTTAAAAACCGTATTCGTTTTGAAATAAATCAAATCGACCCGGGAATGCTTGAACGAAGTGTAGACGGCGTTTACACACGCTTAGGACAATGCCAAATAGTACAGGGTGGACAATTCGAACAATTTCGCTAGACTTACACAAACATTAGTGTAATTTTACTCGTTTGAAATGTAATTTTGTCAACTTTGTCCTTTTCGGAGTCATTAATAGTATAAGTAGACAATTATCACTTATAAGAACTTAAGGTGCATTTTTCTAAAAAAAATTGTTATGTAAGACATCGAAATTTTCACACCGTTGTTTAGATAATTATCACTGTCATCAATTTCGAACGAAAAAAATATGCGTCCTCATTTAAAAAAAAATTATGTCATCGCTGCCGTAAGTGGATTATCGAAAAAAAAAATTTTTCCACATAACAAGGTGCCCTGGATCAAATAAAAAACGACGGGTCTCACCGTTTTTCGAAAAAAAAATTGTTTAACGAAAATATGAATTTTATGCAGAACTTTTTTACCACGCTGTATTTATCACTTCTTTTGCGTTTAGGATGAAAAGAAATCCACAATGGAAGTAAATGGTATCACTAAAATGGTGAGACAATAAATATATTATTAATATAAAATTTAATTACTTCTTACATATTTATTAGGCATGGTCGGATGAAAAATTGGTTTGGGATCCAGATCAGTATGGAGACTTGGATACACTTCATATATACGGAAGAGAAATCTGGCGCCCCGATTTTTTTCTCTTTAAGTATGTGCTTTATCTAAATGTTATCCATAACATTTCATTTTGTTTAAGTATTACTTATTTTTAAATTTGATTTCTTAATTGTATATTTTTCAGTGCTGTTGGTGATGGAAGAGACATCTTTAAAGACAGTCTAATGGTTACCCATTCGTCTGGTTCAGTTGGATGGACTCCAAGAATATATCTTAAAACATGGTGCAGTCTCAATAACATGGAAAAGTGGCCTAAGGACGTACATAAATGCCACATAATACTGGGATTTTTAAAAGACTTCGAGTACATTAAACTGAATTTCAACAGAAATGAGAGTGATTTGGTAAGACTAAAAGCAACAGCCTTTGAACGTTTAGAAAAATACTTCTTTGCGTTATTCCACTATTTCTATACTTCTATTATACAGGGTGTCTCATAATTAGCTGCCAACCCTGAACAGGGTTGGGAGCAGAAATTGACCAAAGTGGGATTAATTCAAGAGCGATTTTCTCAGAAACCGTTAAAGATAACGATTTGAAACAAGAGTATCTTTTTAACGTAAAACAGTTCGGGAAAACGGAATTTGCTGTCCAATTTGTTAAAAAGTCAAAGATGAAAAAGTTACACACGCAAAGTACCAAGGGCCCCACCCCAATGGACCTTGTGGAAATAAATGGATTAGTCCATCAAATTGCTCATCAAAATTTAGCTGTGTATACCAAATTTCATTCATTTATCACAACGCGATTGAGAGATATTGCAAAAAATGATTTCCATTCCTCCCTCTTCAATGGCTCCCTGTGCCCTTAGGAAGCATTTCCGGACCCATGTTCATATGAACTTTTTTACTTAGTTTTGATCATAGAATCGGCCTGTTCAGGGTTGGCAGCTAATTATGAGACACCCTGTATGTTCTTGGTGGCAGTAGAAATATTTTTTATTTTTTTTTTTTCAGTTATATCATGAGTCATCAGAATGGGCAATTTTGGGAGGTGACCTTTACGCAAACGTTAACGATAGTTTTGGTAGACCGGTTTTCAGCATGGTTTTAACAATTCAAAGAATTTCAGATACTTACAATACAATATTCTTCACACCATTCTTAAGTATGTTCTATATTTGGTTCCATATGAGTGGTTCAAGTTTTAACCGGCAAATTTCACCAGATGATAGAATTAATTGTTTTAACTAAAAGTTTCATATGAATGCAGATCTAAGAATATTTTGTTTTTGAGGTACAAGGTGTTGAGGTTCAATAATATACAGGGTGTGTCCAAAAGGCCTTTATAACATTTTTTTCACATGTTCTTTGGATCCAAATAAGTCAATTTAAATAAATTTATATTATGCCTATACCTATGTATTAAACATATTTTATTCCAATGTATTCGGCGTTGATTCGGCGCTAGTCTGCTCCAAAGTGTCAGTTTTATTATTATTTTTTTATTTTGTTATAAATTGTGATTTTGTTCAAATTTCATACGTTGGCTTAGCTTTGTAGAACAAAAAGTCTCACATCAAAACTATGATAACTCGGCTTTCAAGATTCAAAACCTATGTATGTTTTCAGCCACGAAAATTGGGTAATTCCAAATATATCAAATTTTCACCACCAAGAACGACAATAAGGAGATGTTTCTCATTGTATTAGATACGTTCTGTCCAAATTTGATTAGCGCATCTCTCTCGATTTCCAAATGTCAATACCTCTGTATGATTTCAACCACGAAAATTGGATAATTCCAAATATTTCGAATTTTCACCACCAAGAATGCCGGTGACAACATTTTTAACAATAAGGTGATGTTTCTTATTGTATTATAGCTATGTCCTGTCCAAATTTGGATAGTGCATCTCTCCAATACATATACAGGGTGGTCCCGAGGTAATGGACCAAAATTCATGAGTAGATTCATCAAGCAAAAATATTGCGAAATAGCCGAACTTACCTTAGTCCAAAAGTTGATAGTTAAAGAGATACAGGGTGTTAAATGTAAAATATTATTTCATTTTTTTTTTAATTTATTCCTTAACAAATGCAAATATCCTCACAAAATTTTGGGGTTTGTAGTTCTTTGGGTAGAGGAATTGAAATCTGTTCACATTTTGGTTAAAGTTCATAGAGGGCGATAGCTGTAGTAGATTGAATGTGTTAAAAACGACATAACTTTATTGTACTTTAAGGTATCTCATCTTTGGTATCAATTTCTTATTTTCCAACTTTTTTTACGCAAAAAAGTATACTTTATGAAAGCAGCTATCTCGTACCGTTTTCGAGATATTTGACTTTGAAGCTTCCATTGCTGTTGCATTAAATTACGATTAAGTACCTATACAGGTATTATTAATTTAGCGGCAAAGTTTCTTAAGTAGGATTTGGACGATACTCAAATAATTAACGTTTTCCACTTGTCTTATTGCTGTCATTTGTATGCTAATTTCTATTAAGTATTATTCGTACCTAATTAAAATTACATCTTACAATTAGCTTACAATTTAAATTGTATACTCGTATACAATTAATATAATGTGAGATAGAATGCCGAGATTTTCGTTTTTGGAGTTACATAAATTCAGTTGTTTATGGAGAACTATAAACACCTGAGAAGAACTTTAGCAGCAGGTTTTAAATGCTGCAAAGTCATTTCGCGTTAAGGATTTATACTTTAAATTAAGACATTTTTTTAATAAACGCGTTGATAAATATATTGAACTTAGAAGTGGACTTTTTGAGCAATTACTGTTAAAAAGGCATATTTTTTTACAAATATTTACTATTTTACTGTTCATTACAATTTTTAATTCTAAATAAACCTTTGTTTTTGACATTTCTAAATTATTTTAATTATTTCAACTATTTGCTTTGGAAGTTCAAAGCCAAATGTCTCGGAAACGGTGCGGGATAACTACTTTCATAAAGTCTACCTTTTTTGTGTAAAAAAAGTTAAGGAAAATAAGAATTTGATACCAAAGATGAGATACCTTAAAGTACAAAAAAGTTATGTCGTTTTCAACACATTCAATCTACGGCAGCTGGCGCCCTCTATAAACTATAACCAAAATGTGAACAAATTTTAATTCCTCTACCCAAAGAACCCCAAACCCCAAAATTTTGTGTAGATATTTGCATTTATTAAGAAATAAATGGAAATAAGCTAAAATAATGTTTTACATGTAAACAGGGTGTTAACACCCTGTATCTCTTTAACTATCAACTTTTGGACTAAGGTAAGTTCGGCTAAATCGCAATAATTTTGCTTGCTACCCATGCCACGAAATTTGAATAATTCTAAATATTTTCAAAATGTGATCCGATGTTATTTAAAGAACCAGCTTTTTTTGAATAAACGTTTCTTTATTTTAAAATACGCTTCTCACACAGTTGAATAAATCCCAAATTACACCAAAATTACGCCGAGTTTTGGATAGAACATAATATAAATAAATAATAATGATAACAAAAATGTTAGAAATACAATTTTATGTAAGAATTTCCCAGACTTTCATGTTTCTCGAAAATCGAGCGTTTCACATTCATGTGAAACTTTCTATCATCTCTGATCTACTGAAGATTTTCCATTTAAAACCTGAACCACCTTGTATAGATAGTTTTCAATTAATGTTTGTCTTTCAGTTATATCTGTTTCGCTTTTATCCACATTTTGGGTGGATGCTTTTGGAAAGCTAAAAATATCCCTTAACTGCACTCAGTTAGTTTTGAGTACGATTATGTTATTGATTCTAGCAACATTTATACCCAGTCACTCGATGCGTGTACCATATTTAGGTAATAAATTTGAGTTTAATTCAATTCATTTTAATTGTCGTCTTAATTGTATAATGGATACTTAGTCAAAATTTTTTTTAACCATTATTTTCTTCCCCAAAAGTCATCTCCTGGCATATACATATACACTATCTGGAGATGACTTTTGGAGAAAATAATATTAAAAATGTTTGTTTTTTTCAGTTCTACTATACAGCTTCACTCTTGTGGCAACGCTGATATCGATTGTAATTGCAATAATTGTTATAAATTTATCAAGAAATACCCAGAAAAGCATACTTCCAAATTATGTGTGTAAAGCACTAACTTCTAAAATACTACGAATTGCATTGTTTTTACCGAAAATGGACGTAAGTGTTAATTTATATGATTTTACATATATTAATCTAAAATTGAAATAAACATTTTTTTTTCTAAAAAGTGTACCTGTCATAATAACACCGGCCAACAAAAAAAAGCTATGTTAACTTTACATGCGGCATATGATTTCCTGTGTATTTTTGTCTCCTGATCACGCTTCAGTTTTCTGAATACCTTCAGAAAATCGCTAAAAATCTAGATACAGTAAAATGGAGACATTTAGGAAGTGACGAGATCTTGACATGCGACACATGTTTTTCGACTTTTTCCATCCTGAATCCGATTCCGATGTCAGAATTACTCCATAACCGTTTAGTCTTCAAAAAATCGCTGAAGATCTTCAGAAAAAGGGCGAAATTTGAGAAGTGACGGCTTGCTGGGCAACAAGAGGATGCCGAATAGAATATGTATGAAATGCTCTGGAGCACACCCTCAAAGGAGACTCGTGAACACAAACATTCCCGGATAGTGCATAGAACCCAGATACTCAGGGTTTGATGGGGTAGTGGAGCGCCGGAAAAATCAACGGCCATCCGAAAGAAAATACAATTTGCTACAGTTGTATAAAAAAATCGAATCGATAACTTATTTCGTTCCGTGAATAATGCGCTGTATGTTTGGAAACGCACGATTCTTCAAATGACTCCTGGACCATACTTATAGGTCATTTTAAAAGTTCGGTCCTACTAACAAGTTGTAATCTCCCATTTCTTATAGCTAAAAACATACTCTACAAGATGGTATAAGTTTCATCTGGTTATACTTCAGGATCACTCAAATTAATATGTCGGCACCGATTTTACTCCACTAAAAAAAAAAGTATGGTTCATGCTGTCAACTATTTTTCTTGAATCAGTGTACTTCCAGTATGGACTACGTGAAGGCTTCTTTTCTCATATGAGATGTAACTCCACTGCATTCTCTTAGATTCTGTGAACTGTTCCAATTTGAATGCGAACCATTTTCGATATTTAGTGTAAAAGTTTTGAGCGATTTCAAAGGATTTATTCGAATATTTTACAGGTGTTCANTTATTATTAAACATTGTGAATGTGTAATGAAATTAAATGAAAAGAAAATGATACAACTTATATTATATGGAAGATGCATCTTAAAAAAAATATTTTTTTAATTTTAAAAGGTGATGTTTACCAATTCTAAATTGTGCCATTCATTCATGGAGCAATTTTAATTCATAATAGTGTCTGAACATTCTCGCAATTTTATTACTGTGGCATCAAAGAATTGCTCCTCAAAAATTATTTTTTATCGAAATTATTTAAAAAATTTGAGAATATTTTAATATATTGTAATGGATTTTTAAATTGTTTATGTAGCACAGCGATTTTATACATATATATATATTACACGTATGTACTATATTTCAGATGTCTGACGAATATGGAAAACTGAATGATTCATTCACGAAATGTCCGGAAAATCAACAGCTGATGTGGATTCTACTGGGCATAGCCATTGACAGAATATCATTTTTGATATATTTACCTCTAATAATATATGCAATTTACTTGAATTGCTCATAGATTGCACATTTTTTGCATGTTCGAAAATAAACCACGCTCTTATTACTTTATTACATCTATCTAAGTATACCTAACCTTTTGTACAAAATATATTGATGCATTTCTGTAAATAATAATTTTATGGATTAGTAAAAACTATAAAATAAAAGACTTATTTTCTATGTAAACCTTTATTTTTCCGTTAAAATTATGTATTTGACATAATAAATTGGTAATATAGAAAATGTAAAAGTAGGTATTTCTTCAAAAAGCACATAAGACATATAAATCTAAATCTAGACATGTATTGTACCATAAATAATATGACCTTTACTGAACTCAGTTTAATAAGGCAATTCAATAAGGCTGCTTTTCGAGGATTTGGACCTACTGGAAGATGCTTCGGAAAACATTTGGTCCTTCATGGAAGCATCAGCCAACAACTTTTCCGTTCTTTCCACGATGTTTTTTATACTTTTTTTGGACGGAACTGGTAAACCTTCTGTTAATTTCAATTCTTCAATTTCAAACAAATCCAGGGCTAAATATGGTGCACCTTTAGCTACATGTTTCTGCATCTAAAACGAAAACAAAGAAATAAAATTGGTATGGAAGTTTATATAAAGAAGACTATGTCTTACTTGCGTTTTCTTTGTTTCCAAGACAGCAATTTTATAATTTATATCACTTTTCATGCAATCTTCCGTCAATAAATTTTTATTTAAAATAAAATTCAACTTCTTCAAGTCTGCTTTTGAAGTGACGTCATCACTCTGTTTCTCACTAGAAACCAAAAATATTATCTATCTAAAATTAAAATGTAATACTATTTCGATATTGTACCTCATATCGTCAGTTTTGGATTGGATTCGCCAAGAAGATGGGATCAAAACACTAGTCTGTAATGGTGGAGGTGGTAAAACTTGCATTTGAAACGATTTTTCGACGTTTATGTTATCAAATGTCAGCCCGATATTAGCTATGTAATTACAACAAGTCACAAGTATGTTTGACGTCTCCCAAGTGTCTAATATTGAACTGAAAATATTTATAAATTGGTACTACTGTTTTTTTATAAGCAAAACTAAAATTTCTGTTTATCAATACTAAATTGATAATTATTGATTTCGTAGATCAAAAGACTTTACCTTCTTGAGTGTTCATCACCAGTCTCTTTTCTTTCTGCGACGTTATCTATGTTAAAGCATTTTTTAATATTATTTTCATCAACCCCCAAGTCAGATCTGTCATGTCGTTTTGGTCCAGGAAAAATACATTCTTTACCCCATTCAATTTGTTTTCCTTCAATGCCAAAGCATGGATATTTTATTTTTATAGTCTGCATACACTTTTGTTCTGCTATATCCCACAGTTTACACACCTAAAAGGTTTCGTTTGTAATTTAATTCACGTATTATCTCCATTTTTTTTACAAAAAAAACACTCGTACTGGCCCTGTAGATATTGGTACACAGACAAAACAAATAGTCAGTAAATATCCGGTTCGAAGGACCAAATATTGATGTAACGTTTTATATTAAGAATAAAACTTCTAAGATTTACCCCGTCTCTGGAGCAGCTTAACAACACTTGTTGATTTTCCATAACTTTCAAATCGACTATGTCGTTTTGGTGCCCTAAGAGAACAGCTATTGGCTTGGAAACAACAACAGAGTTCCACAGTCTGATGGACCCATCATCACTACCAGTTATTAACAATTTCAACTTGCTGCTTAAAGTGAAACAGCTTGTTCCCTGAAATAAAGTATTTTTACGTATCTTCTGAATGATTGTTGGAAAGCTTACTCTTCTCATTTTAAAAACGTATAGCTTCTTTTTATTTGAAATACAGCTTTGTACAACTGATAATTCTGGGTCTCTACTACAAGTAAAAATAGTATTGTTGCTCGATGCATACATAATCCTTCTTATAGAATTTTTATGGATTTTTCCGTAAGATTTAATTAGAACGTAGTCTTTCTCATTTGGCAGTTCCTTAAACAAAATAAATAATTAGTTAGAAATTGGTACTAAACGGACATAATACTTACATTCCAATAAAACAGGCTAATTTTATCATTATATTTTCTTCTCAGAAAGCCAGATTTAGGTTGTACAAAGGTAAAAGACATGATTTTTCCGTAACTGTCACCGGTAAACAGTGTGCTTTCATTTCCTTGGTTCGTGAATTTATCACAACATTTATAAGTAAAACACTAAAACGTATCTCTTTTATTTTCACATACTTAAAAAGATAAGTAATTCAAAGGTGATTACCTCAATGATATTAGGAGTACTAAGCACCAACCAATAGGGCACATGTTTTAATCCAGACACCTCGTATATCACAATACTTCTCGCCGTATTTGTTACAATCAACATCAAGACATCTTTACAAAATAAAGCATCGGTTACCCACCTATTTCTTCTCCTTCTTTCGAATTCCGATCGTGTTATGTCCTCTCTAGTCATGATGACGTGATAGGATGTTAAAAAATTCAAATTGCCGTCGTACAAGCCTATTCTTCCATGTTTTGCGACAATTGCATAGCAAAAATACTTTTCGGTTTCTATTGGCACAATTTTAACAATACTTTCTCTCTAAAATATTCACCGTTTAAATTCCTTTGGGCATAGTAATGTGTTATCCTAGAAGATTCAATATTTCCATTTAAAAATTAATGATTACAAACCTTTGTATGTGGTACACTATCTATTTTATTGAGATTTAAGGAAACCTTTTGATCTACTTTGGGCTTTATATTTTCTATTAGAAAATCTAAAAAGTCGTTCCACGTAATAGCAGTTTTCTTTCCTTTGCCGATGTCATCGAAAAGCAATGTACTCTGCAGTGAATATTTTGAATTACCTAGAAATTTCTGTAAATAAAAATATATTATATTAAACATACTGGAATTGTACCATATAAAGAACAAATGACATTTAAAAATTCCTCTCTATCTAAGCCCAGATCTTGTTTTCCTTCAAATTGAATTTTCAACTCTTCCAATTTACTGTGCGATAAATTCTGTATAAGGCTAAACCACGCAATATCAGAATCTTCCTCCACTGAATCAAAGCTGTAATATTTTAAATTAGTAGCAGATAACTACAATTAAGCAGGCATTTATAAAGATACATTACCTCAAGTTATACAATTCGCCACTCCAGGTTGATTCCTGTTGTCCGCTATTAGCCATGTTGTTAATAAAGATAGTTTTGTTGATTATTTAAAGAACAATATAAAATGACTAAGTGTTTCTCTTTTATTGATCAAACATTTAGGTACAACCAAAAATGAAGTATTAGGTTTACACATGTACATCTTCGTCAATAAGTGGTATTTTGATACTTTTCTCTTGGTAAAACATTTATTCACTTATTTCTACTAAACTTGCTTTCTTACTTTTACTCTATTCCAAAATCTGAACTTTTAACTTTTTTAAAAGAAATACCTTGTGTTCTGTGTCCAAAATTACTCACTTTTAAGCATAAAAACTCTGGTGCAAAAAGAAATAAGAAGCGATCGAGATCTACATTTCTCAAAAGATACAAAAGATTTTTATCATATTTTCAAATTATTAAAATTGTCATATAGGGTGTCCTGAAATTAATGTAACAAAATTTGGTCACAGATTCATAAGACAATTTTAGAGGACCCGTATTTTTTATTTTTGCCAAGTGGCCCCCCAATTTCGGAGTTATAGCCCCCTAAATCCGCCTTTAAGAATAGCCTTTTTTATATCTCAGAACTCTGTTGTACGAGAATCACTAAATTTGATACACAGGAGTTTAATGAGATGTGGAACCAGTGATACGCTTTTTGGCGGGGAACCCCCTTAAGACACTTTTTCGTGGGCCTTTGGAACCAAAAAAATTTGGTCGCATATTTGAATTTCTTAATAATTATTAGTCCTTTAGAAATCCATTGCATTTATTAATTTTTTTGTCTCTTGATATTTTTTTCGGAAAACGCAATGTTTTCGAGAAAAATGGAAAAATGTGATCGAATACATCGAAGCCCACGTCATGTATGTTAATTATATGTCATGTAACAATTAAAAATTAAATTATAGCAGAAGCAGTCCTGTACAGTCTCAGATGTGTCACCTAGAAAATATCTAGTGCTTCGACGATCCTTAGACGATCCATCCGGACGGCACGGAAATTGGAACAAAATGCAGATAAGGAATTTCTTTACGACCAATCACAGGAATGTAATTTTGATTTTAATTTCTATGCGGCCAATCATAGTTCTGTCCTAAAGTTTATCAATTCCATGCTATGCGAACCCACCCTAAGATTGGATTGGAGGTTAGAAATTGTGACCCAGAACAGTGTTCTTGTAGGAATAGGTACAAACCGTTCCGAATTCAAAACATACCTGTTCCAAAAAATCTGCTTTTTCTTGTTTAGAATGCTGCTGACTCCCTGACTCCAATTTTAACTGTTACTGTACTAATGTACATACAACACTGCTAACAAGGTATAATTTATGTTAAGGAACGCCTTTTAAACTTTTTATTTTTATTAATGTCGGTATTAATTAAATTGTATCGTATCCATCAAAATTGCAGCAATTTTTATGTTAAATACAAAAGGAAAACATATACATCAGTTTTTTATTACTGCCAATGTCATAATAGACTGTTAGAACAGTTATACAATTATTTTCCCTGTTTCTGTTCTTCGCAGCAGTTTATTTATTATACATCTAAATAACGGTTTGCAGATTTGAGTGTTAATAAACTGCTCCGGCGGAACAGTTTCACATTTTCATTTGTACTTGCTTCAAGCCTGTTCCGAGTAAGAACCTGTTCCGAATCCTAATAGAACAGGTACTACTGAAGTGCTCCGAAGTGTCATCCTGTTCCTGTATCCTGTCATCCCCTGCTCTGCTGAAAATGGAGGGAATTGAGAAAATATAAATTATGGAAAGCAATCATTTACTTCAATTGATTATATAGCTAAAGTGATAAAATACTGTTGTGATATTTGTGTGTCCTAGAGTTATTTGATATTACTTCTTACGTAGTCGTCGTGTGTAAATATTTAAGTTTTTAGGTTATGTTACAATCATTCTACGCATCGAAAAGTTGATTTTCTAGACATAAAAAATTGCCGCCTTTTTCAATAAACAGTAAATACAGTCGATTGGATTTAAATTACAGATTCTGTACATGAAATGTTCCCGCGTTTCTACAACAAAAGGTATAAATTCTTCTAAAATAAAAATGACAGCTTCCCGCCTTTTGTAGGCGTTGTCGTGGAGATTATTGAAGTGGCCAAAATAGTGTTTGTTTTAATATTAAGTTTTCTTCGGTTCTGCTAGTTAATCTCGAATGAAAAATGGTTTTGTCTGAAGAAGGAGAAGAACAGTTAAATAAGAAACATTTAGATTTATGTAACAAACTAAATTTAGATGCAGATACAATAAAAGTATCTTGGGAAAATTTTAAAACTATTAATAAAAATTTTGTGCTGGAGGTTTGTATCATCAGATTTGTTATGATATAATGTTATGGTAGAAACAATTCATTGTATTTTTAGGGTGATTCATTGCATTGGTTGGGATGTTCTATTTTTGCAGCCTCCAGGGGTGTCGAAACCCCCACGTTGGGATTAAGTGTTGTCAAAGGGAATTGTATAAATCTCACCAGTCTTTTAAGGCACAGCAATTTAAGGTATATATTAAACACCTATCACAAATGTAAATGAGTATATTTGAATTCCTTTTTTTTTTCAGTTTTGCCCAATTTTTTTGTAAAATAAATAAATGGGCCGAAATGGCACATCTTCCTGAAGAATTTCTTAATAAGATAACACATTTAAAGGATACCTTTGGGGTTGCTTACAGCACTTTTAAGGAGTTTTATCCTATTTTTTCCAAGATATTCCTTCCTCCTAGTCCACAGGATTTAGACCAGTCGAAACAACATAGAAATAGAAAACAAAGGTAACTTTATTTTGCCTTTAGATACTACTAGGTTTTTGTTATAAAATAAGTTGGAAATTTATTTTGTATAATCAAAATCCACTGTTACAAATTTTTTGGTATCTGGTTCAACTTTTTTTCTTAGTTTCGTCATTTGAATACAGTTTATCACTTTATAATAAAATTTTTACCTTGCAGACCTGTCCCATGCAATACGTCAAAAGTTTTTGAATTCATTTGGAATCTCTTTATTACTTTAAAGGGAGAAGATTCACAGTATTGTACAGAACTGATAAAATCTTTTCATCTCCTTTACGCCTGCATAGATTTGGCTTTTAAAAATGCATTTTTTGCTGAACGGAGGGACCTCTTAAACCCCCAGTTTGAAGGGTTACCATCTGACTGGACTGCACCCAGTTTTGTGATGCCTACCGAAGCGCCCTGCCTCATAAGTTATTTGTGTAAAAGTCCCTCAATGTTAACAGTTGCGATGCATATGAAAGTATACGAGTTGAAGGGTATGGTAACTAACCTAATTAAAAACAAAACTTTAATTGCGGATCAGACCAATTTAACTGGGTTGTTCAATAGAGAAGTTTTTGAGCAGAATTTTAAAAACATCACAAATACCTATGAGGCGCTACTATTGAACAAAGGAGATTTTGATGAAAGAATATTTTTGGGTATGTATATTAAATTTTCAATGGAGTAGGATTTACTGTAACAAGTAAAGTGGAATATAGGAAAGATATATGAATATTATAAAAGAAATTAATTTATGGTAAATAAAAAGGCCAAATTATAGTATCTGCACATTTAAAATTATTTTAAAAGTATTTTATTCTTCACTGCATTGTGCATTTTTGTATGTCTTGTCATAATATATTTTTTTATTTAATGTATTTTATTTTAGCTGAATATAGGAGGCAGTTATTGGAACAGCAGTCGAATATGACCGGTGTTAGAGCCCCATTTTGTGATCCAGGTAATTTTTTTGATTCTCTTTTAACATTTATAAAAAATGTATCAATATAAATAATTTGATGTTTTAGGAGAAAATCGTGTACCTGAATCGCCCAGGAACAGTTCAGGAATGGTAAGTAATATATTCATTAAGTTTTATTACTAAATGGAACATGCTAGGTATATATTTTTTTGATATATAAAATCTACGTGTTTTTTTTTCAGTAAATTTAATACATCCATGGCATAATTAATTCTATCTAGTGTTGTTAAATTCCCGCAGAACTTAACATCATTCGGAAATATTTATAAATATCAATTTATTATTATTCTGTGCAAAAATTATTGAATTTTTGATATTTTCTAACTTTAAATTTATCTTTAACATTTTGTAGACACACTTTTGAGAACAGTTTTTGATGTGATTTACTAAACAAGTAGTATTGTGTACCCCACAAATTTGACATTCATCGGTTTTTTATTAAGGGAAGTATTTATTTAATCTTCAATTTTTATCGGATCCCCTTCAAAGTAATCCCCCTGTGATATTATATACTTATGCCATCGTAGTTTCCAGTTTAATAAACACTGCTGGAACAACGCCTCTAAGTATTGTCTTGAACACTGTTTGTGATTTTGACTAAACTATTGTTGAAAAACCTTCAAAAAGTGTCTGAATTGTCTTAACTAGCCTTAACACTGAAGGCTGTCTCATCCGAATAAAATTCGTTTGATCTCAATGTATCTTTCAAATTCGCAAGTCTCCAGGGCTTTGCCTTGAACCGACATATAGTAGTTACGACTGTACCTTATACATAGGTAGAAAGTTTTATTTATTGTTAAATTTAATATATTCAAACTTATTTATCTATTATTTATTATAGGTAACACCTACAGGTGGCGATACACCATTGACGGGGAGAACATTTTTGGGACCTAGAGAAGCGGACATTACACCCCTTTCTATAGATAGAACCACTACACAGAAAATTACTCGACTCCATAATATGTTGAATAACAGATCTCCTGCTCCCAGCGAAACATTAGTGCAATTATTTCAGTAAGAACTTATCAGATAATTAAATATAGCGATAAATTTGAGTGGGAATTATATTTATAAGTTTGCATTCTCAAATTCTATTGTGACTAAAACGAAATGAAACTGATTTTTTTTTCATCTTTTGTTTTCATAATCTCAACAGGCTAGTATAATGTAGAACAACCACATGCACTAGTCGTGACTGCCTATCAAATTAGGAATTGAATTGTCACATCTTGATTCAATAATAAATAAATGGGGATGCGTTCGAAAAAACACTCGTACACGCCGATTGGTATTTTTAGTTGCACATTTTTTTTCAACAAAAACTTTATACAGGGTGTGTCATGGAACAATGGTCAATACCGACTTTCTTATTTTAAATGCAACACCCTATATATTATTACATTTTTGGATTCTTCAGAAAATTTTGGACATATTTCCGATATCAATCTTCAACTGTTTCGGAAATATTAAGTGTTCAGATTTATTGCAAAAATTAACGTTAAAAAAATTATTTGATTACAGAAATTCGCTACAACACACTCAGAAACTAATAAGTAATACTGTTTATTGTAATAAGTAATGTAAATAAGCAAAAAAAAAACATTAATGTCAATGTAGGAGATGTTTAAAATGCTTGCCGTGTACGTCTTGGCAACATTCTAATCTCAAATAAAAAGAGTGATTGCAAAAATTCACAATTCGCAGAGAACTAAAGAAAATATATAAAAATATGTTTTTGGTCTCTCTTGAAAATTTTCAAAAATCACCCCTATTTAGGAGTTGAAGACTCCCAAAATGAAGAATTGAATATTACCAATAAATATAAAAACTATTAGCATGTGAATTTTTCTATTGAATGATTCTTGATACAAAGAAACATTTATTCTCATGACTGAACATGTTGAATTAGAAAATCCAGCCTTAAGCGCGCTGAGGGGGTGAAATCGTCCTCAAAAATAGAGAATATCAGAAATAATTGTAAAAATTCCAAAAAAAAATATATTAAGATAATTCACATGCTAATAGTGTTTTTATATCAATTGGTAATATTCAAATTCTTCATTTTTGGCATTTTTTCAACCCTTACATAGGGGTGATTTTTGAAATTTTCAAAATACTAAAAGCTATGCTCATTTCAGTTTTTTATGACAAGTAATTTGTGACCAAAAACATATTTTTATGTATTTTTTTTTAATTTTCTGCAAATTGTGAAAAAACGGGTGAAAATCACAGGTTTTTTGCGGTCACTCTATCTTCTAATGTTACTCAACATCTCAGGCGTGACCGAATTAATCGCAAGCGTTATTCGTCTTCTTAAGTCAACGAAGTCGAGGAGTTTAGTTTTGTATACTTTTGACATATCCCCATAAGAAGAAGTCTAATGGTGTCAGATCAGGGGATCGTACTGGCCATTTCATCAAGTGGTAACGCATTTCTGTAATCAAATAATTTTCTTCTTTTTAATCTTAATTTTTGCAATAAATCTGAAAACATTTAATATTTCTGAAACAGTTGAAGATAGGTTTTGTTATATGAAATACAGTAAAAACTCTTTAATCCGAACTAATTATTAAAACACGGGCTTAAAGCGATAAGTTCGAATTACCGATATTTTCGGATTACTGGATAGTAATATGTATATGTACATGCATATAATATGAATTAGATTTTATGTGTTACTGAAAAGGCAAAAAATAACAATAAACCCAAACATTATCATAAAATATGTCGTATAAATATCGACATGTTTGCACAGCAGTAATATTTCAACTAAAACGATCTAATCGACAAAGGTTCCTACTCGCATAAAAGGGTTTCCCCGAGACTACCGGGAATTACGTTTTTAGCGGTTACTTTTTATTATGTAGTCTGACTTTATATTCCGAACTATAAACGTTAAACCGAATTTTGTTCGAACCATCGAAACGGGCATTCGTCTGGTCATTGGGCCGGAGTAGTGGATATTCGGATTAAGGTGAGTTCGGATTAAAGAGTCTATACTGTATGTCTAGAATTTTCTGAAAAATCCGAAAATTGAATAATATTCAGTGTTGCATATAAATAAGAAAGTTGGCCAGTTTACATGACATTATTATTGAATAATGATTTTAAGGTAACATGTCACAAAGTCAACAACAGCACTCTGTTTTTACAAAAAAAATTTCCATTACATTTTCGCTTACTACTACTTTGATTCTCATAGTCAGTGTAAATAGGTAATAATAGGCAACGCACGCATACAATAGAGTTCGGGAGCTGCCTGGTGGTGTAGACAAAAGTTTAAGTGCAGTCAACAAATTATAAGTCAATTATTTATTTAATTTAAAATAAAGTAATTTTAGATTAGTATTTTATCCCTGAAAAGCTGACCTCATTAAAATTTGCATCTTGTATATTTTAAATATTAGTATCACTGAAAAAAAAATAACGATGGAACGTTAAGATTTCTATTTAAGTACATTTTCACGGGCAAGTTTGCCGATGGGGCCATAAGTTTTAACCGAGGAACATATCAAATTTTTATTGTCAAACTTAGTAATTTAACTTTGATTTGTATCCAATATCTTTCGATTTGTGTCACTTTTGGATGTCATATTAGTTAACATGCACAAATACTTGACGGATCCAATTATTTCATGATCTCTTTTAATTCATTGCCGCTGGTTGTAGCTGGGTGAACTATTTGAATATATAAAGTAGTATGCCACTTAAAAAGTAACATTTTTTGTTAGGAAATGAGCTTGTAGAATCATATTTTATGTCGAGGTCAATGGAAAAAAAATCTTTCAATTTTACAGATCCTGTCAAAAAGATCCGCTGGCAAAAATACAAAACGTTATAAAGACTCTGAGTGATAAATTTTTATGTGCCTACCTGTTGAACAATCCGCAAAGTGAGGAAGAAGCAAAAAATAGGCTGCAGATTGGCATCACATTATTTTATAAGTTTATAGAAAGTATTCTACAAAATGAGAAAAATATTCGGAATGATATATCGGTAGGTCTTTTTTTATATTATAATCGTCATCTGTTTAATTGCAGATTTTTTTTAGGCCCTCGTAGAAAAAGAACTGTTTTATCAAAGCATGTTCACATGCTGTTTGGAAATTGTGATATTCTCTTATAGTAGTTCTAAAAAGTTTCCTTGGATATTGGACGCTTTGGATATCGAACCCATCCATTTCGTTAAAGTCATAGAGTTAATCGTTCGGTCGAAGGACCAACTATCAAGGGAAATGATTAAACATTTAAATAAGGTACTAAATTTTTTATGATTTTTGTAATTAACAGCTCAAAGAAAATTTTTTTAGATAGAGGAAACCGTATTAGAAAGTTTAATCTGGAAATCATCCAGTCAAATTTGGGACATCATAGCAATATCTGGACAAGGAATGCCAAAGTTCGAAGACACTGCTCTTCCAGGACATCTACTGTATAATGAACAAAATAGCAATAGGAGGGTACAGAACCCGGAAGTATCTCCAAGTATGTATTTTATTATTTTAATAAGACTGTGTAACATGTGCCTTTTGGCCATTGGTGCCATTTTCTACAGTGTCACCAATAAAGTACGCATATGGGAAAATTTTTTTTCATTTCTTTTCTGTCAGTTTTCGAAGAATTTGACTTTACCGATTGGTTTTGCTTAACCCTTTCGCTGCGCAATACATCTGAACGTAGCTACCGCGCCGTGCGCGATTGTTTATCGTGTGTGAATATATACGTCTTGAGCAGTTAGACCACTTATAGTTTTACATTATGTTGTGTTAAATTACGATTTACGATAAATTTTACGATTTTATTTTGAATAAAATACAGTATATGTACTAAATAGAAACTTAAAGAAACATGAACAATCTTGGTACTATTACCAGTACCTCTTTCCATAAAAATATTTGCCACAATCGGTATAAGCTCGCCCGCAAAAATTCGCCAATTGCAATAACCGAGTCACTATGCACACGGTTGCGAATATATACGGTTTGAGCAGCCTGATCCAATTTAACTATTCATGCGAATTTATCCGTCTGGAGCAGTTTGAGCCCTATAAATTTTTAGCGAATATATACGTATGGAGCAGTGAAAGGGTTAAAATGTAATACCTAATGGCATGCTAGAGAAGAATTGGGAAAAAAATTGGAAATTTTCAAAAATCTGTTTTTTCATTTTTTATTTATTTTTTTTAAGCAAAAAATTGAGAAAATCGGGGAAAATAGAAAAATTTACGAAATTCAAAATAAAAACACTAGGAAAACATACTCATAATAAAGAGTATGAAAATAACATATTTTAACGAATATCCTCAAATCTCAACTTATTAGAACACGAGCACAAATTAAGAAAAGGTAAATATAATAACAACAAACAGAAATGCATAGTCTGGCTATTAAATTGTAGAAGCTGACAAAAAATTTAATGAAATTGCGTGATTGAATTATGTTGCTCCGCTCGCATAGTCCCCCCACTCCTCACTCTTGACTGCTCCATTCCTGCGAAATGTATCGATCTTTTTTGCATCAGAACAGTTAAAATATATTTCCGATCTTTTTTCACGAATTTTTTTTCGGTCTATACTGTATTGCAGCAGAAATAATGCATATAAAAATTTAAGACCACTTTTATTTTGAAGAGAATCTCATAACGAATTTTTTTTCTCTAATGTCAATATTCTTTGAGTTATACATGAAAGAAGGAAGAGAAATGCGCATTTAAAAAAAATTTTTTACATTTTCTTGCGCTAACAATTTCGCACAACTTTTTCGCAATTATCAGTTTACATAATGTTTAGAACCATTTCCAACAAAAATTATCATTACTATATAAAACATCAATCTCGAAACAGATACCGACTGGACTATTGTGCGTGAACACCCCGTACTCTCTCCATCGTGCACCGTGTCCCGGTGATCACAAAACCCCCTAACTACAGAAACACGGTCGCACGTGATACACACTCCCCACCGTACATCGTTTGTAACAGTTAATAAGTTTATGTAGCTGTTTTACCAGCTTTAAAACAGAACTTGATTGCTGTATACTGTTCGATGTGCATTTCCATGACAACTGTCTAAAACAGGTTTCAAGTTATAACTTCGTGGTAGATACACGTATACTGATGAAATTTTATTCGGCCGCTTAGAAGGCTTGTCACTACATAGTTCTTTAACCATACATAGATAGCGCCACGCACTTCGCCACAATAAAATCAGTTTTAAAACTTAATAGCTGAACTGTGTATAGTAACAAGAAGAAAAAAAATCTGTTCTCTATTATACTATTACTTAACCCAGTTAACCGAGTAAAATTTTAGTATTTCAAATATTGTTAGGTATGTACATAACAAATTTCGTTGAAATTAAGTTAATTGATAAAAAGACTGCAAATTTAATTTCGTTCAAAATCATAAATTTCACAAAAAATTTTCCTATACGATGCCTACTTTATTGGTGACACTGTATACGATTTGATGAAAACTTACTTTAAGCTTCGCAATCTCCTGGACCATCAGCAACGGACTGTTTTCAGTCTCCCGTTACTCAAAACACAAGCGTCAACAGGCAGCTGTTTCCAGCAGTGCAAGCGGGACATTCACTACTCCAGAAACAGACACATTTAGGTAAGTAAAAAAATGTTTTATATGTTATTACTAAAAATGTTTTCAAAAAATATCACTGTTACGGCTGTACTAAACCCTAAAAAAGAAAAATGGTACGCCACTGGCAATATACAGGGTGATCCACTTTTTCTCAAGAACCAAGCATGTCATTTAAAAATAGTAAGAGACTTTTTGCTGTAGAATGAACCGCAATGTAAAAAAATATATTTATTTTGAAAAATTTCCAGTGGCATAGAAATTATATTAAAAATAGGGGCCCCTTACAGATGCCTATGATTGATCTATTTTTATAATAATGTGTAGAATGGATAGAGCTTTTCATTCATACACTTTGTACTAAATATAAAACAAATGGCTTCCATAGTTTAAGAAAAAAACAAAAAAAAATGTTTTTTCAAGAGCTTATATCTCTTTGGAAGAAAAAGTGTATACTTCAAAATGACATTATTTTGACAAGATAGTTAAAGTCCTGATCATAAAAAGGGAATCACTCTGTATAAAAATAATTGTTCTAAATTTCTGTTTATTTTACAATAAATAACTATTCATCATTGTTTTTCAAATCAAACTATTTCGGAATAAAACATGTTTATTAAATTTTTTATTAAATAACTGCAGTTTAACAAAAATTTTAAATCTCACTTAACACCTAATATTCCAGTTTTTGTGATCGAAACCCGAATTGGCTTTTTCGTGATTCAAAATTCGGATCCCGCCTTACCAAGATATAGTCTCCATCTAGAAATTCAACTAACAATTTGTCAGAAGAACTGTTTTCTCATAAAAACGAGAAAGTCTGGTGTTACAAGTGTTTTCAGTTTGAATAGTAAACGTTTATTCCGAAAATTAACAAATGCTTTTTTCATAATTTATGGCATAATTTGATAATAAATATATTTTATTTTTTTATGACGAGTATTTGGATATTTTTAGGATTTTCCTTGTCGCCTCTGTCAAAGTCTCAAAAACAAGCGGAAAAATGGCTTTTTTGCGGTCACTCTTTGTTTTCTTAATTTGTTGATTTACAAAAACTGAATTTCAAATTAGTATTCTAGGGAACACATACTATTATCCCTAAAAAGTGACCCTCACTTAGAAATTACACCTTCTGTAACAAATACTCTTCCCATTAGGTGGAGAAACAAAAATCTTACCACCAAATATATAAAAATAAAGCTGATCCCCGAAGCCCACTAACTGAGTAGCTTAATGTTCTCAAAATTAGTGATTACAGATAAAGATGGTAACAGAAAAGTGATTCCGCTAATTGATGGCGATAAGGTTTCGCAACAACCAAACCCAACAGAGGCCACACCTGCGTTGCCCAAGAAGACGGGGAGTTTATCCATCATTTTTAGAAAGGTGAGGCATCAACTTGGGGGGATGTGTGGCACTAATAATTTTATCGTTTCAGTTCTATAATTTAGCTGGGGTTAGAATGGAACACCTCTGCTCGAATCTGGGATTAACGGATGTTGAGTTGAAGAGGAAGATATGGACAGTTTTCGAACACTCAGTGCGCAACACAGACCTAATAAAAGACAGGCACCTCGACCAGCTGTTGATGTGCGCAGTGTATGTGATATGTAAAGTTACAGGAAGTACGCTAAAGTTTCAGGACATAATGAAGCTGTACAGGGAGCAGCCCCAATCTGTCAGCGATGTATATAGGGACGTGCTCTTGATAAGGGAGAAAGTCGAAGGCGGTAAGTGTTATCGACTATCGTATAAAATAAATTATTTTAATAAAATAATATTTCATTAAAAACTAATCTTATTTATGTTTTTTATACATTTTACAACGTTCATTATTAGGAATGTCCTCAGTTCGACAAATTTATTTTTAGGACATAAACTGTTTATAGTCTTTGTTAAAGGACGGATGATTTCAGTTGAAAACTAGGCGTAATGAGTTACAAACAGTAATATTTCATTTTTATTTTTCAGATGGAAAAATAATTCCAGCAACACGAAATGACCTTATATTTTTCTACAATTCTATTTACGTAGAGGCAATGCAAAATTTTGCTGTTAAATTTAGAAGCTCTGTACAAGTAAGTAAAAACGTAAACTGTATTATATTTTATTTTAGCAGCATTCAGAAAAAATCTCATACGTGTTTAATTTTTTTTCAAAAATGAATACTGCTAGTCTAAAAATTGATTTTTTTTTATGTTACAATGAGACGAATGGTCTTCTCCCTTTACTGTATGCAGCAGGTGTAATTCAACCTTGATTAGCATTTTAGTACCCTGAGTAGTTTTTGCCTGCAATATTAGAAATGATTGTAATTTGTAATAATTACAATCATTTATAATAAAAATATATTTAAGAAATTTTATGTTAAATATACAGAGTGTCACGCTTAAATATGATACAAACCTGTAACTTCTTTATTTTTTAGCCGATTAAAAAAAAAATTTTAGAATGTAGGGTAAAAAAAAATTTCTACTATACTGCTCTTTTTCTTAATGCAATACACCATCAACTAGGATGCGTTTTTTTTTATGTTACAATGAGACGAATGGTCTTCTCCCGTTACTGTATGCAGCAGGTGTAATTCAACCTTGATTGGCATTTTAGTACCCTGAGTAGTTTTTGCCTGCAATATTAGAAATGATTGTAGTTTGTAATAATTACAATCATTTATATAAAAATATATTTAAGGAATTTCATGTTAAATATACAGAGTGTCACGCTTAAATGTGATACAAACCTGTAACTTCTTTATTTTTTAGCCGATTTAAAAAAAAATTTTAGAATGTAGGGTAAAAAAAATTCTACTATACTTCTCTTTTTCTTAATGCAATACACCATCAACTAGGATGCGTTTTTTTTGCCATCGAAACAGCTAATTGGTATTAGCGATTTTTTTTCCAAAAACATATTACATATTCTCGTTCAGCATCCCTTAGAACAAGGCTCGGCAAGTAATATTAGGTGGGGTCCGGATACTTTTGAAAATTTTTAACGAGGTCCAGAAAATAAAAATCATATTATTTCTTACTAATTTTTTATTTTAATTTGCACTCAAATTTAATCTACTTACTAACCATTAGAACTCAAATCAGTCACGCGATTGTAAAATGCTAGAAAATATTATAATCGTGGCACTCAAACGTATTGTGACCTATAGAAAAATATTTTTTAAATAATTTAATTGAGTAATTTATACTTTCAAAAAATTTTTGGGGGGTGCAGTATTTTACCTTCCGCGGTCCAGCTCCGGACCGCGGTCCGCCAGTTGCCGACCGCTGTCTTAGAACATCTTATCATCAAGTTTCATCATACTCGATACATCTTCAGGTAAACACTCCATGATGTCCTAGTTGGCCCTACATTCCAAAAAGAAATATTTGAAGTCGGCCAAAAAATAAAGAAGTATAGGCTTGTATCAATAAATATGGGGTGTTCGCCTGAAGATGTATCAAATTTGATGAAACTTGATGGTAAGACGTTTTAAGGGATGCTGAATGAGAATACATAATCAGTTTTTTGGAAAAAAATCGCTAATACTAATTAGCTGTTTTGACGTCAAAAAAACATGTCCTAGTTGTCCGTATATTGCACTAGTAAAAACACCAGTAATTACAGTTAGATAGAGGTTTTTTTTACCCTACATTATAAAAACAAAATTTTGAAATCGGCCAAAAAATAAAGAATTTACAGGCTTGTATCACATTTAAGCACACTATCCTGTATATTGGAATATTTACATATATGAAAAATTCAAGGAATTTTTGAATATATTGGAGAATTTCAGTTTTTTTTTCAGAAGTCTAAAACTGTATACAAAATTCGTAAAAAATTTTCATTTTTGTGACTCATGAAATTTGATGATATTACTCCAATTTTACTCCTGAATTTTTAAACTTTTTTGTACTTAGCTTAGTTTTTCCAGTACAATTGAATTAATAAATAAAAAATAAATATGTTTCTTGAACTTAAATATTAAAATTTTCCAAATAATCCTTAAGTAATCTGTGCCTTTATATCCATTACAGAATAGCTCTCTTCTCTTGAGTCCACTCCCTCTTATAAAAAGAGATTTGGTTTCCTCCAGTATACAAGTGATAGGAAACGTCTTTGTGAAACCCCTGGAAAATCCTTCAGCTGCGTCTGGGACAAGTTTCAATTATTTCTTCAGTAGGAGCCCTTCAAAGGTAAGTAGGAACAAAACATATTCTTCCAATGCGAATTACCAAAAAAAAATAGTAATTTTGTAGATATACAGACACACATACTAGTTACAATAATAATACTGATTTTAATTACATTTTGTGTCTACAATTATTAAAATGTCATTTTTTGCACAATTTGCCGCTGTTTCAACTATATGTATATTTAATCAAGATATTATCTGAAAATATTTATTTAAGGCATTTCTTAAACATTTTTTGGTTAAGTTGCCACACTATATACATATATTTATATTCAAAAATGTTTAAAAACTTCACCGATTCTTATGACACAGCAGTTCATTTATTAATTTTTATCATTTTTTAAATTTTCTTTGTGGCAAAATGACCAAAAAAAGAGAAAAGTTGTACAGGGTGTTTTTAACATGGGGTTTTCCTTTTAATTCGACTTAGAATTCAACAAAGTAAGCAAGTTTCGACACTTTAGTATGAAAACATATTATCTCAGATTTCGGCTGGAAAACATGCTAGCTCAGATCTTTAAGTGAAAACATGCTATCTCAGTTTGACTAGAAATTTAAGTTGGCACATTGAATGATTGAAACTGTGCATTTATAATAAACTTATATAATATATTTTTCAAAAAGTAAAGGAATATTTATGTTCAGGTACAGTTTATTTTATTTTTTTTTTATTCAAATTTTTCAATTAATTTTGTTAAGTTACTGTTATAAATGACAAAATTGTTAATTAAAAAAATTGAAGTTTTTTGAAATAACCAATTATAAAAAAAATAGTGTATACCTTAATATATAAAAATTATTACTAAAAATTATTCCATTTTTTTCATACAAGTTTGCTTTGATATAAAAATTAATAGCGCACTCTAACCGTAATTTGAGATAGCATGTTTTCCAACCGTAATCTGAGATGGCATGTTTTCGTACTAAAGCTTCGGTTTCTCGACAAACATTTTCCAAAATTTCAGAAATAAAGAAATAGTTATTTATGATACAAGTGTTAAAAGTGGCATTTTATTTTGTGAGTGAGGATGATTCGCTCGCTACGCTCGTTTTTTAACTTCACGAACAAAATAAAATCACTTTTAACACGTATATCATACACTATTTTTTCTACAAAACAATCGGAAGAACTTTAAACTCAATAAAAATAAGAAATCAAAAAATACCACACAGATCGCAGTGTTTATGAACCAAAATTTTCGTAGCAACCAGTACTTTTAACACTAGTGTTAAAAGTAACTTACTTTTAACACGCGTGTCAAAAAATGACATTTTTAACATCAAAAATGACAATTAAAAAGCCCACTTTTAACAGTTTTGTAGAAAAAAGCCTTTTAGTATAATTTTAATACATCCCTGTGAAATATCTTACAATATTCAGTTGTTTTTATTAATATCGGAAAGTCCAACATAGAAATTAGAAATTATTACTTATCACGACATATAATCATGTTCACTTTTTTTTGTCTATACCATTATAAAGCAACATATCATAAAAATAGTTGAGATTTGGGTTTTAAACAATAATGTGCATAATGTGCCTGAGACAGATATAGCTTAACATCTAATAAGGCCATGTGGAACAGACATCACTTTTATTGGCCCTCTGTGACATACCGCAGTGGTCTTTGTAACTGGTCGCATTGGAACTATTGGATGCCACCAGTTACAGAGGCCACTGCAGAACATCTCAGAGAGCCACCATTGTCTGATAAGCGATTCCGTCTATAGCGACCATAGAGCCAACAGTAAGAACTGAAATAAATATCACGATGGGCCTAGGAATTCTGATAGCGGATCTGCCTCCACACAGTCTAGACCGAGAACGACAAGGGCAGGTCAAAGATTCCTAGATACGACTGAGAAAGTGAAATATAATTATCTAACGTAGGCCATGGCATAATAACCCAATAAATCATTAATATTTTAAATGTTTTTACCAGTGACGGCTGTTGCGAGGAGCTCTGGGGCGCCGCCCTCCCTAGAAATTTTCATAATAAAAAAAAAATAGTAAAAAGGAAGTGTTTTCGTAATGCAGTCAATTTAATTCGATAATTCGTTTGGAAAACTGTAAGCGTCTGTAAAGTGTTTACAACGGTGGTCATGGTTACTGTCGCACAGCAGTGAAAGACGGAGTAGGAGTAGCCCATATTTTCTATGCAGTTTGGGCTCCGTTTAGTCGGACCGTACCAAGTAATAGTTATTCAGCGTTTTTTTCTTAATAAACGTAATTTGTTTACGTGCGGTGTAAAATTTTCATACCTAAATATTTATTTCTTCTGTTTTTTTTAAATTGTAAAAGTTTAACGATGCGAGAAAAAGTTAATGAAAAAGTAAATTTATTTCGAAAACAAGCAGAAGAATGAACTTTCACTATAAAAAATAATGTTGAGTACGTTTCCCTATATTTCAATAGTACTTAAAATAAAACCACCCAATTATATTTAATTTTTTTTCAATACTTTGTACCTAAATTTTTGCGCCCTCCCTGGTATGGAAGTCGAGAGCCGCCACTGGTTTTTACTTTTATAAGTTTTGTTATGTTAAAGGACAAACTGAAACTTAAATATCACCCTGTATATTTAGTTTTTCTAATCCACTGTAAAAGTGATATAAATGAATTTATATTGAAAAAACAGACTTAAATTAAACATTAATTAAAATTGTTATTTATGATCTTTTAGGACTTGAAAGACATTAACAAACTTGTAAATAGCAATGCTGTCACCGGTAAAAGGTTATTAGTTGATGGAGACATGGACTATCCAGCGAGTAAGAGAATATCGGATCGAAAATTCCAGTCACTCGTTGAGGAGAGACGAAGTCAAAATTCGGAATAACTCCATACGATCCGAATATTTTATTTTTCATACTGTGACTGACTAAGAGGTGCATTCATCATGTGTTTCTTTAGAGAACAACGAATGTCGAGAACTAACCAGTACTTTATTTTGTAAATTTTTCATGTTTCCATAAGTGAAATAATGTAATTTTGTTAAGTACATATTAGGATTTTATTGACGATGAATTAAATTATTCTAATATTGATATAAAGAAAGAATTCTAAGAAAAAAAGTAAACAGTGTTTATCATACAGTAAAATAGTGACTTCAGAAATTTACATTAACAATATATGACGTGGCCGTTATTGAGAGAGGGTCAAATATAAAATAATTGATTTACCTGCTTTTAAAACGTGGCACAAAATAGAGATTTTGCTCTATTTTGTAATTCACTTTAAAAATAAAAAAACTTTCAAGAAAAAGTCTGAATTTCATCAGACTTGTTTGAATTTTTTTTAATAGAAATAGTTCAGTTTACTGTAAATGTACATACTTTATTTGAAAATTTTCTATTGGTCAATTTTCATCTAAACTCATTACATTTAACAGTAAACCAAACTTTTGTTTCTAGTCCAAAATTAAACTCAGAATCGTTATATTTTAATTAATTAATATTTAAAGGTGTAAAAAAAATGAGTAATTAAAAAATGTGTTCACAAAAAAAATTTCACTTTTGATTTTGTTTGTTTGTTAATTTGCCAAAAATTGAATTTTACTACAAAATAAACTGCTGGTTTCAATAAGTCTTGTATACATTTTTTTTTTAGAAGTCGATTTGGGATTGGAAATATATACTTTAATTATGTGATGTGAAACTTGTAATATTTTCATCAAATCTATAAACTATTGAAATATCTTGTGAAATGTGAAGTCTGTTTAAAATTTTGTGAAAATCTTTGTTGTGCCTCTTGAAGTATTTATGATTGTGTACCTTCCCCGATTTAAAACTAAATCGTAATTTTATGGAATATTTATAAAAATATCTTCTTTTAACTCAGACCAATTGTTTGGTATTTATATTTATTTATTGTAAAAACTTATTAGTAATTAATTCGCAAACTGAAAATATCTTTATTTTAATTCTTTTTACATGTAATTAATACTTATATTACAGCTGATAGACGTATTACATTTTACACTATTAATTAATTTAGATTCCCAGGGTTGGTTTGCTCTGGCTAGAAATTCTCAAATAAATAGTTTTTCTAGAAAACGTCACAGCACATCCACTTTCATTGAAGGGAGCGTAGTGATCTGACGTTTTCTGGAAAATTTACAAATATGGAGCCGTCTTGTAGGGAGATAATTACTACTCTGTAACATCCGGATATCCCTAATAACTATAAAATCTGTGGGGCAATTTGTTAAAGGTAGTTTTACCTAATTTTAATAAATATATTTCATATTTAAAATGTGGTAATCTTATAACTACCCGTCGAACTGCCCTTTAAGTTCTCCTGGTATGAAAGTTTCCCCATTTATTTATATTTTTGTTCATTGGTTTGAGGTTCTTACTTATGTCTTCAAATTCCCTCATCAAGTGACGTCATTTTGTACCTTAAAACAATTTTTTAAATAATATTCATAAATGATTACAAGCCACGTGACCAGTAACATTGTTTGGAGTAGTAATTTTATTTCCTTCACGTTCGAAATTAAATTTCGATAAAATTAAAATAATAAGATCAAGGTACACCACATTTTGTTTCACCAGCTGCGATTGGCGTAATTTTTCATGAGAATATATTCAACCAATTGGCAATCGCATTATCTCAAGCATAGACGTTACGTTTGGTCACTGTTCATTGTAAACGAATCGTTAATATTGATGATGGGAAGATTTAAGGATTTTTAGTTGACAGTACCAGCCGTGCAATATTGGTTGCCTATGCCCACGTGGCTTGTAATCATTTATGAAGGCTCTGTAATACACAATCGATTCATCGGATATATGTTTCAGATATACATTCATCTTCAGATAAAATATGTTTCATTAATAACGAAAGAGTCGCATAATTAATAGTTCATTTTTTCAACAAAATTAAGTTATGTTTATATGTATTAATCAAGACATACCAACACACAATATTTAAAAAATTTTTACGACTTGCAGAACTCGACCAACATTTCGATTTTTTTGGGGAACCCCCCACACCTAAACAAATTTGCACACATTTTTTACTGATTATATAATATATTTATAAATAGTAGTTTTAAGTAAGAGTATAATTTTTTTTTATTTATAAAAATTATTTTGAATATTTTTGAGTGAGTCGCGGAACCTCAGGGTTCCGCGGAACACAGTTTGAATACCGCTGCTCTAATGTAGCATATTCTAGTCACTGTTGCCTTCAGGTGAATACTGCAAAGAATAAAAGGCCTCTGAACCATGCACTTCTCTAGACTTCTGCTACTGTGTGTGCCTGAAGAGAGGGATTTGAATAATAAAGAGCTTTTTAAGTTAAAAAATTGTCTGAAGCCACAAAGAGGTAGGTACTCTTGTTCAATCTGATAATATGCGCATCATTTCTGAGAAAATTACCGATAAACTTTATTATTCTCTTGTTATTGTTCTATGATGACACAGATTCTCAAAATTAACAATAATGATCAACTCGGATAAAATCTATTCATAAAATTCCACTTGATCATAATAAGGGATTTGAATAAATGCTTTTTAATTAACATACCAAAATACTATTAGTGCATATTATTAAATATAAAGTAATTCATATGAGAAATATGTATATACAGGGTGATTCACAAATGGTGACCAAAATGAAACCTCGTATTCTTTGGTGAATTTTAAGGGGAGTCTTTCGTATAAAGTTTTTATCTAGGACGCTTTGTTAAAAAGATACAGGGTGTTAACTTAAAAAAATATTTGTTTTTTTTTATTTAAAATTTAAGTGAAATAATTTGAAATTGTTATGAATGTAAACATTGTCCAAAATCTGGGGCCTTCTGGTAAAATTTAGATACTTCAGTGGTAGAGATACATCAGGTGGCATCGGTGGCATATTTTTCTAAATAAAATATTACGCCACTGCTTTACTGTGACCACCATGATATTTTCAGATTCGTCTTTTAATTTTCTACGAATTACTACTCTCTTATGTATTTTGAAAAAAGCCTGATTTTCGAGTAAAACTTAAAAAGTGAACTGAAAGCACTTTTACTTAAATGACGTGACAAACACTAATCATTCAGTTATTTATTCGAATAAAGAAATTAATAACATTAGTCATTTTAATTATTTTATTTGAGTAAATGCTCAAAAATACCTCCATTTCCAGGAACACAGACACGACATCTTTTTAGTAACGAAAATGTAATTTGTTCGAAATTTATTTGTTGCTTGAATCTGATGAAAGGCATTATTTATTCTTTCTTCTAACTGCTCAGAATGTCAATATTGCTATCGCTTTTCGAAAAACATAAGAGAGTAGTAATTTTTGTAGAATATTGAAAGATGAATTGGAAAATATCATGATTGTTACCATAAAGCAGTGGCGTACTATTTAGAAAATATGCCAGCCCTATATCTCCGCCACTGGAGCATCTAAATATTAGGAAAAGGTCTCAGATTTTGGACAATGTTTACACACATACCTACATGTGCCCAATTTCAAATTATTTCACTTGCTAGTTTTTAAATTATTTTAAAAAATTTAAAACTTTTTTTAAGTTTAACACCCTGTATCTTTTTAACGAAGTCCTAGATAAAAACTTTATAGGAAAATACTTCCCTTAAAATTCATCAAAGAATGCGAGGTGGTCACCCTGTATAACACACCACATATATAATTTAATCGTTATAAAGTTATAAAACAGTATATATTCAGGTCGTCACTGACTTTAACGTTTTAGTACTACCTGTAATTCGAATATACATAAACAATTCCGGCTTCTGTGGGTCTACCTTTACATTCATAAAATAGTTAGGTACTAAATAAAATTGAAAACTACTTCTCCATGTTCTAAAGAAGTAGATTCGAGACTCGTGCAAAAAATGCCGTTTGCAAGTTGCAACCCATTTCTTACTGATTTAAACTATGCGATATACCACTCTCAATTAGTAATAATAATACCTATATGACACAATTGCCATAATATGCTAAAAAGGAGAGAGTTTGATCTAATTGTTGACATTGTCCAATAAATGTAATAAATAATAATGCCATAGATGCATATACCTTACTTATAATCTTATCTTATCTGTGTCGTAATGAAAGTTCCTAATTTGAAGCTTCCAGTAAAAACGATGTCGTTCCCCCTCTTTTATATATTATTTTGCAATATTCCTATGAATCATGGCAACCGAAAAGTTATATACTTTTTATTAAAATCTATATTCTATTCACTTTAGAATAACTAGGTAGGCTGATTAAATGTTTTAATTTGTGTAAAGTAAATGAATTAAAAACAGATACATTTAAGTAGTTAAAAATATAAATAAAATTTAGAACAGAAATACTTATTTTTCTTTCAAAGTGTAGAGGGCAAAAAAAATGTATAGGTAAATAAAATTTATTTGAAATGGTATTCCTATTAACATATTTTTCTGATAGTGTCGTGTCGATTAGTTCCGTATTATATATCAAATTGTCAAATCTGATTGATCAAAATATAGTTTAATGGTTGGTTTATAAAAAAGTATTAGTCCTAACTTAGCCGTAACTTAACCTTAATCTTAGTCCTAAAAAGTTAAATGTACAGAATGTAACGTATTGGTACGCGAAACACAATGGATGGCTCCATCCATCCGTTCGTCGGTTGTCGTACCTATGACACATTGATGAGGACCAATAAGTCCCAAACCGGTCTGTGCCTGGTGGGTTAAACTGACGAGCGATTCTATTCAGTGTTGTGAACGTAATTCAACACGGGGGGGGGGGTGGCATATAGCCCGCGGTGTAGTTGTTTCTTGCAACATTGGTTGTAATGTATAAATTGATAATGGACATTTAGGGACATTCAACTTTTAATAATTTTACCAATTTGATCAAGTCAGTCAGTCTGCTCCACATACTTGTATAGAAGTATGTGGTCTGCTCATAATAATTTGATGGTATGAAATTTTGACATCGCCATCAAATTAGGTATTTTGATGAAACAAATTTGATAGTCCGATGCATGGGCTTTTTTATAGCTGTTTCGCTTCATCAAGAAATTGGACAAGTGTAATGCACCAAATCTGCTGTCAAATAACTTCATGAATTTATTCATCAAGCTCTTGACGAATTGGAGCATGCATGTTTTAATTTTCGTCAATTTCTTCGTGAAGTTCGGAAGTACCAACCCAACAGATTTCTAGCTTCAAATCAGTAATGAGGTTATGGTATTGGAATATGTAAATAATACAGTGGCGTCGTACCTACTAGTTTTGCATTGTTTTTACTGATTTGTTACTTGCAAACACTAATATTTATATAATATGTGTCAAAACGTACCGCTGTTGTATCACTACAATTATGAGTGGAAAGGTGACTTTTTTAAAATGTATTTGCTTCTTTGATTCATTGGTAGAACTGATTCATGCCACAAAAAACTTAACAAAGTCTGTAGCAGTGTCTTTCCACTGTCACACTGTTTACCAATAAATTCGGGAATTAATTCATGAAGAACTTCGTCAATTTATTCATCAATAATTTGTCAATGTAAAACAGCTATTGCCAAACTTGTCGAATAAGGTTGAATGAAAAGATATGGAATGTGATGACAACATACAATAATAGTCTCGGAAAAAATGTAATTATGGACAATGTTTATTAACGGTCGACTCACCCCTCCCCTCAGGCTTTGAAAGCCCTTGCGAAAAACTGGAAAATATACTTATACTTACACATCTTAATACGAAAAACATGTAGATATTTTTTATTTTAGCGAGACTTGATCTTTTATTTAGTATTTAGTAAATTTACACATGATAACTATTTATCATTTCTACTTGAGTTCGACCCTGCCAAAATTTTATTCTGGGTGTGCCACTGAATCTTTAAAATGCAAAAGCGACATAGACAGGTGTAACATAATAAAAGCGTTTTGACGTATTGGTATCATGGGACATCCTGTACGTTTTTTTTTTTAAATTGCAATATAGTAAAGAATAACCAAAAAATATTAAATAATGCACAATGCTGGCGCCAGGCATCAAGAACATGACGCATCTCGTCTCCCACCCCACGCCTTTTCAACCTTCCAAAATGCGCAGGTCGGTGGCAGAGGGTAGTTTTGTTTTTGTTATTAACCTCTAGTCCGCATGCGCGGATTACAGACGCGCCCCGAGCCATTGGAGCAGGAGCACCTGTTACATCTTTCAATTTCATTGTTCGTCAGAAAGCCGGCCGGTGACTTCGAACTGCCTGCTAGCTCATTCACGCGAGTGTTGTCTGAATCAAATTTAGAAAAATGTCTGAACAAGAAACCGTTACCGCTCCAGCAGCTGAAGAACAGAAAACCACCGAAAACCCTCCTGAAGAAGCTAAGGATGTAAAGGAAAATGGTACAGGGGACGCCGAACCTGTTGCCGAGACGGAGAAAGAAGCTCCGAAGGAAATGAGGGCTGTTATTCTCACCGGATTCGGAGGTTTAAAGACCGTCAAGATTCTGAAAAAGCCCGAACCCACCCTCAACGAAGGAGAGGTCTTAATCCGAGTCAAGGCATGGTGAGTATTTGGCTGATTTCAGGAAAATACGTATTTTTTTGACATAGCTGTTATAAAAAAGTAGATATGAAGCCAGGTTTTTAAAGAGTAGGTATCTATTTTTTATTTCTTTTCATTTTATTTGGCATTATTTACTTATTTAAGTATAACTGGATTATTACTTGGTAAATACATTAAAGATTTATTAAATGCAATATGTCTTGTATGTAAATTAAATTTAAAAATAACTTGTGGTGAAATGTTTCGTTCGCCATCTGGATCTGACACATTTAATAACTTCCATGAGTAATTTCATTTTCATCATTAATATTTCACTTAAGTTTTACTGGTAGATATTGAAACAGTTATGAATAAAAACGTTTTTCAAGACTTTTATTGATCCAAATACGTTAGAATATATCTATTGTACGTTCAACTACTTTTTAATTACATACGTATATTTAACATGAAAATATTAATCCTGCTTGAATGAAAATAGTCTCCTTACTTTTTCAATTTTTCCCATTTTTTTAATGTTGAAATAGTACGTAATAGATATCGAAATTACATTTTAATCAAACCGGAAATATAATACCAACTTTGTGGTCAATAAATACAATTTTAACGATGTATTTAATCTCATCATGCATTTGAATTAATATTTAAGTACTTAAAGACATTAACTTAATAAAATTTGGTACCTACGAAATCATACAAATTGTCGCTGCAGAAACTTCAACATTCCAAGATTTCTAAAGAAAAAAAAAACAATACTAAATGATTTAGACACGGCGTTTTCAATTTTTTAAAATTGCATTTTGTTTCACTTTTCACAATTTAAAAAGCTTGGCAATATAATGAAGGGTACCCTAAGAAGTTTAAATTTAATATACATGTTGTTCCGATGTCTAACGACGTAAAGGTTTAAGTAAACAAATTTAATCAAAAATAGTTCTTTAAAGATAAAAGTAAGCCTTTATTTTATAGGATATGTTTAAATCGAAATATTTGTGTTTATATCTTTACTATACATTTTCACATTGTTCGTATATAGCGGGTATCAAGTATCGTTTCGTAATAAAAAAAATATGAACCAGTCCGGAAACATGGTTTGCTTCTTCTACTAATAATGGGAGCGAAAAACTGACTTTTCTGATTTTCAACATCCTGTATTTTAACATGACTACATTTAATTGAATAATTTAGATGTTATGGATGATTTTTACCATTTATCCTACAATTTTAACATTTTGAACGATATGATTGATTTTATGAATAATTGTAGGTGGTTTCAGGTTTTAGTGAATTTTGCGCAATATGGTTAAACTTTTATATCATTCATTAGTGTTTTAAGGCAACGATATGTCTTGTTAATAATTATAGAAATATTAATTTTGTACAAATTCATTTACAATATTAAATAAACCTATACAAAATATAAAATATTACATCTTTCTGGAAATTGAGTATTATAATTAGATATACATTATATTATGCATAAATTACATACAAGTATGTACATAAAATATAATTATGGAAATGGTGATTTTTTTTAATAGCTATACAGACTAGTTAACCCATTTTCTAGATATCGGTATGTAATCGGGTATGTATTTATCGCACAATAAAAATATTTATGAAGTAAATGTAGTTTTTAAATAAATCTTTTAACAATAATATTGGTATTTTATGATCTAAACGAAACATTTGTGTACCTACGTTATTATATGCATAAAATGCTACTAAGTATAGCTTAAATATTAAATCAATAAATTCCATTATTTTTGTATGTATTACATATTGAATACATGTTGTTTTTTTCTTTCTTATAACTTTAGGTTATTGTTCCCAGTGCCATTTGACAAAAAAAAAACGACCAAGGGTCCAAATTAAGATAAAAAATATGTTTGTTCATATACCTTTGAACTAAATTGACTAAACTTGAATAATTTATGTAATTAAAGATAAAAATTCAATAAAATAGCGAATACATCCGTCAAAGGTTTCGAAATACTTAAGGACATCTTCATTGACAACTGAAGAATTATTTCCCCATCCCATCATTGACTGTCAAATTTGTATAAATGTTCAGTGAATGTTTAATTGGTTAAACCATTAGCCCCAGTTCATCAATTTACGCCAAACACTTTCAAAAATATTTGTATTTTAATATTTTCCTATATTTTATAGTTTCTTTAGTTTCTTGAAGACCAGCTGCTTATAGCCTCGATTTTTGTTTTTTGTTTTTTTTTTGTCTAAAATAACGACAAATAATTTTGGAGTTGACATGGCATACACTTAAAAAATGCCCGGTATATTTATTTATGATTTTATGATATACCTTCAATTAAATAAACTAATGCAAAAAATTAAAGCGTCAAAAGAATTTCCGAAATTTTTCCGTGATTTTTGCGAGACTGTATTTAGGTGAAAAATGGTCATATCGGAATTTAAAAAAAAGTATTTTGAAGTTCTAAGATTCTAGTTTTTAGATCTTTCGGTCGAATTTTTTTTAGAAGTTACGGTTATCATGCAATTCGAGTCCGCGACTTGGAAAAATTTTTTTCAGCGAAGTCATTGCATGGACCAGATAGCTTGTTTATTCAGCTTCAATTTCCTTTTTTAAATTTCTGTACCACCATTTTTCATCGAAATATCGGACTTTTAATGAAAAATTATACTTTTGTCTTCAATCATCGATATCTCGGCGACAAATGGTCGTGCAGAGAATAATTGAAGGGCAGTTTCGAAAATTGAAATAAATTTCCTGATATGCTGCCGCAACTTTTCGGAAAAAAATTTTGTTTCATTTACACAAATTTTAAAAACGGGAAAAAAAGGGTAGGTAATTTATGATTTTTCAGAAAATTGACGGCTAAATTAGAAATATTTACGAAATGACTAATGTTAAGCATGACTTTTACAGTTGAATATTACACCAGGAAAATTAGAAAATTAGAGAAAATAAAAGAGAAACTCGAAAAAAGTCCTATCCGCTAGATTATTGTAAAATTGTCTAAAGGAACATAATACAAGACATCTCTCGTCTCGTGAGTCAAAAATTTTTATTAGCTAACTTTTCTATTTAAACAAATAAGTGAGGAAATTTTCACTTTGCAGGAAAAACCATCAATTTTAGCGAAAAGTGACCCACAGACAGCTTATAGGGAGTAAAATAAAAAATGAGACTAGTTAAATTAAAATCGGTTACTTAATAAACAAAAAAGTTATTGCAAAAAAACAAGAAAAGTGCCCATTTTTTCATTTGTTTATAACTATCGCATTTATTGTTAAAATTTTATAAAACCTATGACAAGTTGAGGGTTTTGTCATACTTTAAAAGTGTGCCAAAAGTGGGCGTAATAGTTTTCGCACAATTCTATTTGTTTATAGCGGAGGCTCCAAAAGTTATGAACTTTAAGCCTCTGTACAGGCGTTAATTTTCAATCAAACATGATTCTGAAAGCGTCATTGTAATCTTAAAGACGCAATTAAGCGGCCTATTAAAAAATATCACCGTTTTTTTTGACATTAACATTCTCAAATTGTGCATTAAAAAACCGTGCGTTTTTCGCTTATAAACAATTTGAATAACATTGTTGCTATCTCACCGAAAATAGATGCAATGGATAGCTGGCAAAAAAATACAATTTTAAAATAAAAAAAGTACCCTCTACGACCAACAGGAGTCAAGATAAGAATTTTTTAAATCGTAGCGCAATTGTTTAACACTCAACTTGTCATAGGTTTTATAAAATTTTAACAATAAATGCGATAGTTTTAAACAAATGAAAAAATGGGCACTTTTCTTGTTTTTTTGCAATAACTTTTTTGTTTATTAACCGATTTTAATTTTATTAGTCTCATTTTGTAGATAATTTTACTCCCTATAAGCTGTCTTTTTTCGCTAAAATTGATGGTTTTCCCTGCAAAGTGAAAAAACTGTTTCCTCACTTATTTGTTTAAATAGAAAAGTTAGTTAATAAAAGTTTTTGACTCACGAGACGAGAGATGTCTTGTATTATGTTCCTTTAGACAATTTTACAATAATCTAGCGGATAGGACTTTTTTCGAGTAAAAATTTAATTTGCTTGGTCTATATACCCAGAAGAACCCTGTGAAGTTTCATCCCGATCTAGCGAACCGTTTCTTTGTTTCAAACAGTCAAGTTTTGAAAAAAAATAAGGTTCACGTAATCATGATTGAAATGGAAAATTTTTTTTTTTAAGTTTTCTCACATTTTTGCCGCAAATAAAGTTTAAATTAAAGAAAAAAAAATGTTTTCAAATTTTTTTTTCGTCAATTTAAACGTTATTTACGGTAAAAATGTGAGAAAATATAAAAAAAAAATTTTCAATTTAATCATGAAGTCTTTAAGATCAGAAAACGTGACCCTTTAATTTTTTTCAAAATTTTGTCTGAAATAAAGAAACGGTTCCCTAGATCGAGATGAAACTTCACAGGGTTCTTGTGGGTATATCGAACTGGAAAAGTCATGTTTAATATTAGTCATTTCGTGAATATTTCTAATTTAGCCGTTAATTTTCTAAAAAACCATAAATTACCCCTTTTTTCCTGTTTTTAAATTTTTGTAAAAGATGAAAAAAAAAAATTCCGAAAAGTTGCGGCAGCATGTTATAGGAAATTTATACCAGTTTTCGAAACTGCCCTTCAATTTTCTCTACGACCAATTGTCGCCGAGATATCGATGATTGAAGACAAAATGATCCTTTTCCATCAAAATTCCGATATTTCGATGAAAAATGGTTGCATTTAAAAAAAGAAATTGATGCTGAATAAACAAGCTATCTGGCCCATCTGGCTTAACTGAGAAAAAAATTTCCAAGTCCGTGAACTCGGAAAAAAAAAGAAAATTTGCAAAATATTTTTGTCGTGCTATTAGAATTGCAAGATAACCGTAGCTCCTAAAAAATTTCAAACGAAAGATCTAAAAACTATAATCTTAGAACTTCAAAATACGATACGACGATTTTTCACCTAAATACAGCCTATCAAAAATC